AAAGTATGGAGTAACTATAACAAAGCCTTAACCATAGTCCAATAGAAAAAATGAGAGCAAAGCTGAACGTGTGTGAAAGTGAAGTGATTCTAGATGTCTGACTTAGTTACATCAGTTCTGTTGGGAGGAATGGGCCAGAATTACAGAAAACCATTGTGAGGAACATTCAACCAAAGTCACACAGCTGGATGGCAGCTGCAGTCCTGCAAAGACTCTTGTGAACCCTCATAGTGCTCAGCTGCTTCCTGATGACAACCACTGCTTTCCTGTGGGGTAGAAAGCAGAATGAACTGTTTACACCAGCAGAGGACAGCAGAGGACTGAACTGTGAAGTGCTCACGCTGAGAAAGAACTCAGCCAAAGACGGAGATGAGGATAGTGGAGGAACGGGTCTCTTTGGGGCTTTCACTTTTGCTTGCTCAGACAAGCAAAAGTTCAGCTGATCTTTTCAGCTTCTGATTTGCAAGATTTAGAAAGAGATATTGTAACATATTTTTAGATCAGTTAGAGAATATAAAATCAACATAATGTCCTCATGAATGGAAGTCTTCTTTCTTGTTTCTCTAATTTCAAAGGGAAGTTGTAATAATTGTTTTAGTACTGACAAATTTTGAAGATGTATTTTTCTTGATCTACTCTGTATTACTATTCCTTTGAGAAGTCATCCTGCCAAGCAGCAAAGGCTCTCAGTAATCACAAGCATCTATTTGTTTTTCACTGTTATTTTCCGTTGTGCAGCTGAGATTATAAAGCTTGGATGGGTTTGGTGCAGCAGCAACAGTTATCGCATGTAGTAGCTCCACAAGGAGTGGAGGGCTATAAATACTTTTACTCCATTAAAGCTGCAGTATGCAACTTAAATATATATGGTAATGTCATGACATTACTATGTCATCACAGTATATTATGAGACAGATAATCTGTGAAAAGATAGATTTCCTCCACCTCTTAGAGCCATCAATGCTAAGTGTGCTAATGGCAGAGAAGCGACCCACCGTTACAGGAAAACCGTTTATCCGCTGTCATCAGTGGTCATGTTAACTACCTTTATAATTCACATCAAGCTCTGCTGACAGGCAGAATCTGTAGTAGCAGAGTACAAGTTGGTGTAAGGGAGTGCTGCGCACACACAAACATGACTGACAGTGCTGAGACCCGCCTCCTGGCTCTGAATGATTGTTTCTCTGGAAGAAAGCAGAGGAGCTTAATTTTTTTCATGCATTATCTGTCTCATATTCTCCTGTCACAATATAGTGACAGATATGTTTTTTAACAAAAAAAACCCAAACATTTTCATATGACCCAACTTTAATAACTCGTTATCACAGGTTAACTATTCTTAATATTAAATTAAAACTCGCTTGTTTAAGTTAGCTTGTGGTGTTGACCTCTGCTTTATATTTTGAAGGCAATAGAGTTTCACAAGACTTATGCAACAAATCCCTTTCATTTCAATCAAATATTTATAAACTAGCCAACAAACAAATAGAATCAATAAGTCAATACATGAAAGTCAATACATGAAATAAAATGAGCTATAACATTCAGACGTACTATGTCTCTTGGCGTGTTGTACAGCCTTGTAAGATCTGAGCATGGCAAATGGATGCTAGGACAGAGTGAGGGGGCATACAAAAAAAACATTTTGTACGGCAGTACAAAATGTTTGACCCCTGTGGTTCAAAAGAAAAAATAAGGACTGAGGATTTTTTTTTTTTACTAAATAAAAAATAAAGCTTTCTAATTTTCTATTTTGTATAAATGTTTAAGTAACATCAGTGTGAATGTAAAAATTATCCAGAACATATTTTGTATCTTGGACTGATGGCTAGGGAACAAAACAGCTGACTTACATCTGTACAGAGCCAGGCTTTTCTCCACTGGCAGTCGGCTCTGAAACGCACACAGTCCTCTCAACATGAACAATGACCTTTTGCTGCTGCTTGCAAACATTTATTTCTACTGTTTCTTTGCTGCCCACCAGCTTCACTGCACACTGCTGTGAATTCATGTTTCACAACTGATGGAATTTATTATAGACCGACCATGACAGATACAAAATTTATGTCAACAGTGACTGAAGGCAAACCTAAAAAGTTAGATCTTAACCATAAATCCTTATTCAGCACTGTACCAACAAAACAGTTTGTGAAAAGTCCCAAAGATCCAATTCAGTAAACTGTTTGGTTATATGGTTTAACATTTAATTCCTGATGCTTTGTTTCCTGTCACTGGTTTGATCCCTTACTGCTTATACACGAGTATGTTTGCAGCTTCTAGGCTATCAGATACGATGCAGTACAGTGACACATATATGCCTCTATGTGTCACTGTACTGCAATGAACCTTACTAAAGCAATAGGCATTCTCTCTAAGCAATTTTGGTCTTTCAGACTAAAATTCCCCTAAATGTATTTATATGTAACAGCTATGTACTAATACCAAGCTCACCTCAAAGGTCTTTAACCTATAATTTTCATGTATAAGCTGATCATCAGGCCCCACTTTGTCACAATCAGTAAGTAGAACAAAAGGGTCAATTAAATATTTTTAAGTCTGTAGAAGATTATTTAAATTTGCAAGCAGATGGTCACATCAATCACCCTGACGGGTCATTCTGTTAATGTGTCTTATAAGTTAATAAATCCTATACTTGTTTGATGGCAGTTCATTTGATGTTTACTCAAAGTAGCATGTAAGGTGCAAATATATTTTGGCTAAGAAAAACTTTTAATTATACAAACTTACTTACCATAAGATGAGAGAATCATTGCTTCTCGCCATATGCGATTTGGATGCTAAGGACTTCCTAAGTTACATATGGCTCCACTGTGGTGGGAAGGGAAGGAGATGTTGTGTTTAAAAACTCAAATATATTCAGAGGCAACTTTTGCCTGAATTCTCCTGTCCTCACCAATAACAGCCAATGATCACCATTTTAAAAATAGTAAAGTATTGTTTAATTAGTACAACATTTTATTTATTTTCCTTTCATTTTACTCCCTCAATAATAAATATGAATAGCTCATGTAATAACTAAAATAAATCATGGATGAAAGACGCAGAAATAAGTATGAACATACATCTCCCCTCATTCACATAAAAAGAAAATCAGCTCTACAGCTCATAAGCCTATTCATTGCAAACATTAAGTCACTCATACTATCACTCATTCATATCACAAATGGTATATCAATCTGTTAGGCCACCAGCCTGTTTTCCCTGGCTGCTGGGGAAAAAAGCCAGGGAAAATAATTTTGAAGGAATCCCTGAATTTTAGTTCATGTATTTCCTTTATCTTTAAGTAAACTGAGTTTTAGTAGCCTGCCTCCTCCAGTTCAATTCTTGATGATGTATTTATTTTGCATTCTTCTATAGTCTCCTGAGAGATACCTGTCTTTTTTCCAGTTTTTATTCAATTGGAAACCTCCTGGTTGAATGAAAACAGTTTCAATTCTAATTTCCTGTTGAGATGAGAAGTTTTGGTGTTAACATGACTCAGTTATGTCATGTTGCTGGGAGTTGGAACATCAAGTGTTGGGATCAGAAGGATTAGAGGTAGAATCATGAATGGAATGATGGGTTATCAGGCAGTTGGTAGAACATGTGACAGTTGGTGACAACAGGAGGTGACCGACACCAGACACAACTTGCTTTGAGTTCTCCAGATCTTCTGACCAACATAATTACTTCTGTTTGGATGGCAGAAAGAATTTCACCCGTCATTTTTAATATTCCTGTCACAATATGGAGTTTTGAGATTGACTTACATGAGTAGTTGAACATCTCTCTTCAGTCACCTTGTCTCCATTTTCAGAGTGAAATGTTTATGCATCGGTCCTGCAGACACAGTGAAATGAAAACTATTTTTACACAAAGTGAGCAATTATAACTCCCTGATATTAAAATAATGGAACATTTTAAAGCAAGAATGTCCTGGGATTAAACACTTTTCTTTTGACTTTGCTTATTCTCCCTGTTGATTGAAAACAAGCCCCTTTTAATACACTTTGCTTTGTCCAGAGGGCCCGGGTTCTCAGCTATCCAGAAACAATTGTTTCCTGGAGGTCTGGACTCTGCTGAAGTTTCAAATTTCACTCAGTTGCTCACATTCATCAGTGACGTATGTAATCCACCAATTAGATACTATAAAGTTTGTCAAAAGTTGCCTGGAGATTAAACAACCATCATTCACTGTGAAAAGAGAAGAACAAAGCAGCCGAGTAGAACAAAGCAGCTGTTAACTTATTATTCTGAAGCTTGGCCAATATAGACTGAATAGTTTCCTTCACATCCTCCACTGTCATTGGAGAGGAGGAAGTAAAATACTCCTGTCTTTGTGTTCTATGTGCCATTTTGTTTTACTACATTGCATTGAATGTGTGGACTTACTTGATTGTTACCAACATCTAGTCAGAATTTCAGGTAAATGGCACAACTATAATATTTACTGAAAGAAATAGGGATGTATTCAAAATGGAAGAGGAATAGGACCAAAAACAAATCCTCTTTTGCAATTTAGTGCTTATTTTACCAGCTATAATAGTAAACATATAGACCGAATCAGAGACTGCTGCGATCTAATTGATGCTCAGGCTCAAACATAAAATGTAATTGCTGTCAGGTGAAATTGTACAAAGCTAAAAAAAAATACTTATGACTGAAATATTTACATCGAAAAGAAACAGGAACGTTTCTAGTCGCATATAATTAAAAATGAGCAAGAAAAGTGAAAGGATATGAATACTTCCTGAAGGTAAATAGAGTTCTGAGTTTAACAGGTAGGAGACCTGATCTCAGTCAGATAGAATTACCAAAAACAGCAACAAACTCAAGTTTAAGTTTTCTGATAAACATGTTTAATAATAGAAAAAAAAACTATACAAGCTTCAACAGATCTAATATGTTAAGATTTATACTCACAACACAAGCTGATGGACCAAAAAGTGGAGCTGGGAGATCTTCACTTAGCATGCTCACACAGCAAATCCTAAACATGGTTGGCTTAACTGAGACTTTATTCTGTGCAGCTGAACATCACAGGGAGTATCGGGTTATCAGCTTCCACTCAATTATTTACAGCTGGCCTCCCATCAGGAGCAAACAGCTGATACATCCCCAATGACAATGATGTAAAAAATCTAAAGTCTTAACACCACAAATTTGAACAAATTCTGAACTAGCATTCTCTGTAGGAAACTAGAACACTGGATTTATCACAAGGAAAAAGTATTTGTTGTTGTCTGTCCACAGCCCACCCCACTGTTTTCTTCTACTCCTTCGTCTTCTTCGTCTTCTTCCTCCTGCCTTTAAACACCGGAGAACTCAGAAATGTGGTGTCTGTGAAATCATCTCCACGCCTAATTTTCCTGTTGGGGGAGGGGAAGAAAAACAGAAATTCAGCACTGTGTTCCATTTTCTCTCTCTCTTTTCTTTTTAAAGACAAACACAAGTCTGGATAATATGACCAATCATAACACTAGTTCTAGTAATGATAGGTTGGTTATAGCTAACTTATTGATACAAATAAAACCTAATTTCAGAAAACAAATTACAAAAATGTTCAAAATTCATCAAGTTAAAATTAATTAAACCAGGGTCAATTTAGCCAGATGATTTATCACTGCACTCTTAACTGGCACGGTTTAAAGCTCAGTTGTGAGAACGGTCCAGTCAAAGTCCTGACATGAAGCCAACTGGAATTTGCAGAGAGACCTGTCCAAAGAAGTATGTAAATCTGGGTTGAAGGGGCATTACAGAATATCTAGAATGTTTAACCAGACCTGTGGTCTGCTGAAGCAAAAGTCAGAAACATAGACGGAGCTTTGAGTAACCAGCGTCACTGTAGCACTGATCACATAGCCTGCGTTGCTCTCTGAGTTCCTTTCAGTGGGACCTGACGTTCTCACCTGTTCAGTGGTGGCTCCTTATAGGAGACCACACAGTCCTTTCTCCTGCTTCTTCCTTTATTTTCACCATATGGGTTTGGAAATGTGTTGGTAACAGTTGTTAGAGTTCTTCCTGCTGCAATGCACAGCAAAGCATTAGCTGTCAGCTAAACCAAAGTCAGACAAGGTTAGATTTTGTGTTTACAGTATTCCCTTATTGGGGTGAGTCTACCCAGAGTTCACAGGTAAACTCTGATACCCAAAGAACATCTATTGACAGTGGAGGAGACACCCACCTGGTGAGGCTCTAGTTGACCCCTCAGTCACCACCAGCCTGCATGATGGGCTCCTTTTTGGAGAGTTGGGTGCAGAATTGGATTCTGGGTCCAGAGTGCTGAGCTCTGCAAGCAGCGATGGTGGATCCACATCCATTATCAGAAAGCTGACATCCTGATGATCCATCTCATCATTAACAACCGATGTCCTTGTGTTATTGCTTTTGTCCTGACATGTCGGTCTGTGGATGACAAATGTCTCCCTTAGGTTCTTGGTTTCGGCTGCTGTGTGCAGCTTTGTCTTCCTTTGTAGTTTTGAAGCATTCCTGCCTTTGGAGTCTTTAGGATCAGGTGGATTTTCACCAATGTCATAATGATCATGGCTGAGGAGCATCTGAAAATCCTCTTTACCTTCCTTCCTGACCTCCAGACTGTAAGGGCTGCAGACAAGAAGCTCATCACGGCAGATGGGATGCAGACCAGATTCATCTTCAGATAAAACCTTTTTACTGCTTTTCCTTGTTTTTCTCTTTCGCCTGGAGTCGTAACCATCAGCATATTTCCCCAGTGACGATATCATCCTGTTCCTGGAACCTCCTGCTTCGTCTCGTCTGGATTTTTTAGATGTTGGGTTCTCTGAACGGTCACATTCATCTGCTGGCAGGACTTCCATGTTATGCTTTGATGTTTCCACCAGAGGGCGCTTTGAAGTGCTGTTGGTCTCTGTTTGCTGATTTGCCTGGAAATATCCAGAACTCTGAGACAGATCGTCTAGCAGCTCCTCAGCTGGGCAGTGGGGCTCTCCAGGAAGCATCATGTCACAATCCAGACCCAGCGAGTTACTGTTCCTAGAAAGAGAGATGACAAAAGTTTCTCTGCATCTCGGCCTGTTCTGCGTTTTCCTCCTGGCTGCAGGAGGCTGATTCTCCTCTGACCCGAGACCTGCCTCCTCCACTGGATGGAATATGTATTCATATGGTGGAGGTGGCTCTGTTTTTTCTGCTTCCTCTTCATCATGGACCTTCTCCGGTTTGGACTGTTGGCTCTCGTCATCATGAGGCAGACGGACTGACGAGGTCTTTTGAATGACCATAGAGCGCCTCCTTACTTTAGTTCTCGAACGTCTGTAGGTGATTTTAGAACTTGGTGAACCTTCTTCAGGTTCACTGCCCCCAGCCTTCAACAAGGTAACTTTAGAATTGGAAAAATAATTATTTAAATCTTGTGAGACAGTGTCACAGCTGTCAGTATCGCTCTTGGATGTCTTCTGGTGACTGCCAAGCTTGGGGATGCGAGATGTTTTCATATTGTTGCCGCGTTTTTTCGGTAACTGTACCTCAAGAACTCTTGAGTCTTTATCTTCTGGTTTATTTTTCTGAGTAGAAATTTTCACAGGTTCCTTATTGGTCTGTGGTTGAAACCATTCTGGACATCTGGACTGGAACCCACCTGTTGACTCTCTGTGCCTTTTGTCTCACAGGAAGGACCTTTCTTCTTGGCTTTGGTTTCCACGGTGACAATTTCAACTGCGTTACTCAATGTAATCTCCATTGATGTATTGAGAAGCACTGTATTGTCAGTTCTTGCTAACTGAGACTCAACTTCTGAGGCTGACACACTTGGAGCATTACGTCACTAGAAAGGGATGTTGTGGAGTTTCCATGCGTTTGATTGTGCTGAGGACAGAGGACAGAGTTTATTTGAGAGCTGGACTGGGACAACACTCTGGACAGGCGCTCCACTTCACTCCTCAGGCTGCTGCGGGGTGGACAACACGATCCTGTCTGAGTGGGTTGAACACGTTGACTAAAACGCCTTTCCTCTGCGTTTTCTGGGAAAAGACATTCATTTATAGTGAGGCAGTACATATTTGAAACACTGCACTGAATGATGCCAAATTACCCACCATGAAAAATATCAGAGGAGTTGCTGCATCTGGTTAGGGCACTTAAAACATCCAGATGAGGGTTTCCTTTGAGCAGACCTGGTGTAGCTCTATGTTTTTGTTGTGACAGAAAAGATTCCTTAACATTTCAGGCCTCCTGTGTATAAGATAGAAATACAGAAAAATATAACTGTCAGATATCATTTACGTCCACTGAAACTACAACACCTACAAAGGACACAACAAAAGCAAACGCAGGAACTTCTGACCGCGCTGCTGCATCGTTCTCTTTGTTTTTATCTGTTGGGTAGTGGCAGCCCTCTGACAGTCTTGGAGAATCCTGAGGGAAAACACATTTTCAGCTTCAGCAGTTTCAACCTATTGGTCTTCATTGAGGTTTTGTAGATTAGAAGTCAAGCTTTGGGTTCCACTGCAGGGGAAATAAATAGACTCCTCATTGGCATTCTTCCTTATATGGTACTGAATACATTGAGACCAAACATTTCAAGTCATACAGTTTAAAAGATAATTATCTTCAAAAATAAATTTCTTCAAAACTTCTGTTTTTGAAGAAAGTTACAAAAAAAAAAATCTTGGGAAAAAAAATAAAAAAAGTCAAACGCGGAAGTTAAATTTCTGTCTGTATTCGGTGTATGTAAAGTTGTTGTTTTCAACAATAGTGAAAAATGACAGGGATTTTTTTGTGCTTTTCCACACATTTTTTTTTCTGAGTAGTTATAGACTATAAAATTTGTTCATTTTGACTTCAAAAAACTTAAAAAAACGTTTTACTTTTTTTTACTATGACTAGAAAATAACAGAGGAAAAAGCGTAGTCGGGTGAAATGTGGACGATTAACCTCCAGACACAGGCCAATCCATTCTGAGCATTTGGAAGCAACTTCAAGTTCCTGAGATCTACCTATGGACTTTGAGATGTATTTAGTCAGTGCCTCTCCTCAATGTAAGTGGAGGAAAATAATCTGAATTATTTCACCTCCACTTACATTGAGGTGAACAGACAATTGTGGAGTAAGTAACCCACCTGTTGTAAAAGAAAAGAAGATCTGAGTCTGGGAATTGGAATAAATCATAATAGTCACAACTTCAGTGTAAAAAAAACAAACAACCTTGCATGTCATATACATCATGACGCAGTCAAAATCAGAGGATGTAAATTTGATTAAAGTCACATTTAAAAAGAAAAACATAATCTTGTGGTAAAAAAATATAATCTGATTGGTGACTCGTCTCTTACGTCATCAGAAACTAGTTCTGCCATCATGTCCAGCTGCTGTAGAGTGTTATTATGGAGATTTCAAGATGAGCATCTGTAGGAGCAGAACAATAACAAGTAGTGAACCAGATAATGGTCAAACTAAACTCCACATCAGCTGATATATCACACTCACCAGTTTCCTTTGGTTGTGTTTCTTGGTAGCCAGCTGGAAGCAGAGATCTTTGACCTGTTTTTGCAGGAGCACCACCTCCATCTCAAGCTGCCTGCTCTTCTCCTTTTGGGCCTGCAGAGCGAGAGCCAGGGCCTTGTTGTTGGTCTTCAGGGAGACCTTGAAGAAGGAGGAGGTGTCTGGTGTGAAAGAAATACGGTGTTATCACTACTCAAAATCTGTGACAGCCGCAACACAATGAGATGGAGACTAACCCAATTCAATTTCAATTTATTGATCGCAAAAATAAATTAAATAATTAAACCTACTGATAATTTTGTTTTTGATCTTTGAAGCCACAGCTGACGTCTGCTTCGATGGTGTCATCGTTTTCCTGGGAGGCATCTTCAGACTGATGGATTAAAAAAACAAAAAAAAAAGGAAGGCAGAGGCTTTAGCTTATTTAGCAGTACTGAAACAAAAAGATACAAGACATGTTAAAACCATCAGACTCTAATGTTTCTTTTCTCATCTCTCCATTTAGCATTTAATATTCAGCATTAAAGGCTTTTTATGCACATTTTGAAGTATCGCGTTAAAACAACTGTCAAAGACACACCCAGAAGCACGAATAGCAACGTTTAACCAGGAAAGGTCCCATTTCACCCTAAATTAACACTCCACCATGGCTTGTCATAAATTAGCCAGCTGGTGGTTTCTGTCCTAACTTTGTCCAGCCTTACCGTCGATGAAAGTCCTCGAGTTGCAGCGCTTATCTTCTAAAAAATGAAAATCTTAGAAGGGAACGACACAAACTACTGTATTCAAGAATGTATCAGCTTTGCAAGCCTGTAATTGAAGACTGACAACTTTTTTCAAAAACAAACAAAAAATCCGCCAAACTTCCGAACATGCGCATTAACTAACTGACGTGAACTTCGCCATTATCTTTTTCTTGTTGCTGCCATTATTGTTGCACTACTATCATCGCTTAGATTTTAATATTTATTTTCCCTCTACCTCTCCAATGAGACCATTTTTAATTCAATATTTTTCTTTTTCCTTCTTTACTATTTAACTGAGCAATCACATTATTACCACATTATTTCCTATTCAAACTTTTTACCCCTGACTTTAGTTTAAATTCTTATTTTGAAACTATTTATTTTTAGTAATATTTCTGATAAATTACTGAATATTTTTAGGAGTGAAATGAGTAGTGCACCATTTTAGGGTTCACGTAATGGCTCTGAATGCAGCTGAAGCTGTCTGTTCTCAGGCTATAGTCTGTTGACGCTCGGTGCTTGATTAGTCAGGGCTGGGCTTGCTGCTTGTTGTTTTAAGGGAGTCGGCTTCTTCTTCCAAATGTTTGACAGCTGCAGCCACTTCAGGAATTGGAGTACTCCTCTGCTCTCAGTTATGTCAGCTTCATAAAGTTAATAGGTAACCTGCTTGTTTTACATTTTGCTTTTACTCTTCACTGACCAACGCAGATGCAGCTTCCCGACTAGTTAGCACTCGAAGCTAACCACATACAGCCTGATAGGCATCAGCGGCTGCTAACATTAGCCAACCCTCAGCTTAGATTAATAAGCTTTCTTGGCTGCTTCTGCGAATTATAAGCCTCTAAGTCATAACATTATCTTTAAGTTGTCATAAAAGCAACCCATTATGAAAGTCTGACACTTTCGTTTACTCGTACAAATCTAATTGAATCTGCCCCGTTTCGCTTTAGTGTCTCTGTTAAAAACCAGCGTGTGAGGGGTTTTCTGTCAGCTCCCCTGGTGACTCAGAGACCGTTCGAGCCGGGTCAGGGCGGTGCTTTCTCTTTTCCGGGTCTGGGACTTTGCTATAAAGCTTCGGTCTGTTTAGATCACATGATAAGGTGAGCGGAGTGTGATGCCTTTTACATCGGCTTTCTCTGCACTGTAATCCAAGATGGCATGCATTTCCAACTCCAGCTCTATTGCCTTTTTCAGAAGGTAAGCGCTGCAGAATCTCCAGGACACGCGTTTCCTTTTTGTTTCAGTCGAGCACACAGGGAGCAGGGGCATGAGAGTCTCAATTAACTGTCAGCCGACCGCTATTGAAGAGGGCCACCAGTTCCTGTCACGAGTTCAGATCATCTGTGGAACAAAAGGGCGACGGGGGGCCTTAATCCACGTGATGGGATGTGAGAGCGAACTGGATGGAAAACTGTAAAGTTGGAAAAATTCACTCGTTTCTCTTTGGGGAAATTGTTTTAAGGAAGTAGAAAAGAAATGTCACTGTTTTGAAACCAGACATGCCTTTGTCTAGTTTCAACACAGAGCTCATACTGGGCAAAGTGATTCCCTGCTGAACGGGAACATTTTCTCTTCTGGTTACTGCCAGATATTTCTATAATCTGGAAGCAAAATGTAGACCTGGGATGAAGTATTTCCTCCTAGCAGGGCTGTGGAGGATGAACTTTGTCAGTGATTCATGTGAAGCTGAAAATCAGCAGTCCTGCCAATGCCACGAGATCGAAATCTCTGACTACTTCTTAATAGCGAGATAGAGCTACTGTCTGGTGTTAATGCCATCTTCAAATATAAAAAAGTAACAGAATACATAAATAAACAACTGAACCTTTGCTCTGATTGCGCAGGTAAGAGCAGTACCAAATGCATATATGCTTCTTGTTTTTAAAGGTTTCCTATTATTGTTTGTCCAATTAACACACTTCGAGATTCTGACTGGAGCTCTTGCTTTCTCTGCTTCTGTAAAAATCTGGAATCTGATTTCATTACTTTCCATGTCTAGATATATGTTGAAAAAGTCACATTTCTGTCTTAGCAGTGCAGAGCAAAAGCTTGAACTTCTTCACAGCTGTGTCCCTGTGTGTTTCCTCAGCAGCCGGGGTGGCAGAGACATGGCTGCAGATGACAAATCCTCATCGTCTTCGACGGAGTGGAACATCGAGCCGCCGGCCTCCTCTCCCACCAGCCCCTCACACCTGACCCACTTCAAACCACTGACTCCGGAGCAGGATGAGCCTCCGCTCCGCTCCGCCTACAGCTCATTCGTCAATCTGTTTCGTTTCAGCAATAAAGGTAGGGTTTGGTCCCAAAGCTAAAGCTCAGAAAGTGTTTTTGGGTTCGCTTTGCAGCTCTGTTAACTCTTGCAAATGTATACAGACGATTTGGAGCTAAAAAGTAAAGTGCTCAATCTGTACAATGAACTGTAGAAACACACCTTCTACGGAGTTTCACCAGGACTGCAGACATATACACACTTCAATAACAATACATCTCAACTTTTGGATGGAAAAGGGCAAACAGCTTTTCCACAAGGTCCTGGAATGTCTCTGCTCTACAGAATGTCGTTGCTACCAGTGCAGCTGTTCAGCATCATCAGCAGGAGGAGGGTGTGAATTGATCTGCATGCACAGTAAGGTGAAGACTCATGGATCAGGGCCTTGTGACTAGGCTTTGAACTAGTCACAAAGCCATGACTAGGCTTTGAACTAGTCACAAAGCCATGACTAGGCCGGCTGACCCTCTACCTTTCCCTTATTGACCTGGGTTCAATATGGGAAACGTACTGCTTTTTTTTTTAATTATACAAAAATCTATAATATGATGCCTGGAATCAAGGGAAATATGTGATTATAATAATGTGGAAATATTTCTAAATGGTTTTGTTGAAAAGAGAAAAGAAACACTTATTCTTACTGCTGCTAAAATAACATGTTTTTTCAATTATAATATTATCAACGGCATTAATATAAATACTTAAAATATATCAATTCAAGTGGAATTCACAAAAAGAAAAATGTAGGAACAGTGTTCACAAATGTATGGCACATCAAACATTTTATTATAACAACCTGTTTGAGGGCGAATGCTCAGGTAGCTAACCTGTTGACCAGACATAGTGTTCCAATATTATGATGGTGTTTTTTGTGTTGGATATAATTTGAACAGCCAAATTATTTTCCTGTTGACAAGTAGCATTATTTGAGCCAGCTGACTGACAGTGCACAGCAATAGTTGTGTTACTCTGTGTTAGTCACTATACGTAACATAGTAAGTATATACACACAGTAAGGAAAGTGATTTACATGTCCTGCATTTGTAAATAACAGAGTATGTGATTTCCATACACAGGTTTTCTTTTCTGGCTCGGTCTTAATCCAGTCATGGATGAAGAGAGGAATCACAGAACAGAACACACACCACTATGGTGCCTTTGCAGGCCAGTTAACCTAACATGCATATATTCAGGTTGTTGAAGGAAACCAGAGTTGCTGGTTAGTTGGAACCTTCTTGCTACAAGGGTAACAGTTTTAACAACAACTGTTCACCATGGAAACAAGTTAAAAGGGTTTCTGCAACTGGCAAACCCTTCGGTCATGCACTTGTCATTCTCAGTGAGTCACTGCCTGGTTTTCTGTTATTCAGTGCTGCTGAGGCTCATATGGTGGGCAAGCTTCTGCTTTTTGGCACAGTTAAATTAAATCAGTTGTTTACATTTACATTATTGATTGAAAGCCTAATTATTGTTGTTAAAATGTTGCTTCGAAAATGCACTTTGACCTTAAAGCAGTGGTGGTTAACCTTTTTTGAGGTACTGAACCCAACAGTTTCATATACGCATTCACTGAACCCTTCTTTAGTGATAATTAAAATGATTTTTTTTTTCCCAAATTCAAGACATAGGCATATGCTTTTTTTACTCATTTTTTTTACAAAATGAGCCATGCATGAACATCACCTTGCTCAAAGAACAAAACCAACACAGTGCATAAACTCACACCAATTTACGGCACTACTTTATTTTGGCCCCAAATATATATTTCGGCACCTAAAATATTTTTTTTTCTATCTTACTAATTAAAAATAAATTTGGATTTTTTAAAGAAAGAATTTAAAATTTTTTAATAACTTAATTTTTTTTTGTCATTTTGAATCCACAAAATACTTTTTTACTTTTCTCCATGTCCATGCAGCTTCAAGAAGTGTTCCTTAAGTTTTGTCGGTGCGAGACTTGAGTTGTTCAACTTGGCATTGGATATCTTGCAGACGGGACGCTTACTTCCATTCCGTTCCGTGATACACGTGAATCCATGTTGTACATATTTGTCCGACCACTTTTTTTTTTTTTGCTCGACATGTTTAGTATGGATTAAAAAATTGAGAAAGAAACCACACGACATACAACTACGACAGCCGTTGACTACCGCGCGCACTAAATTCCCGGCAGCACTGATTGGGCAAGCAATGTCACGTGATCCTCTCCAGCAAGTGATGCCCAAGCGGGGCGTGTCATCACAACTTTACACAAGTGTGTCTTTACTTCTGCAGCAGAGGCTCCGCCGAACCCCTGAGACCAACTCAACGAACCTCTGGGGTTCAATCAACCCCAGGTTAAGAACCTTGAAGTGTCACTGAAGGAACTGAGATCATCGTCCATTAAACCATACGATGGCTGTATTTGTTCAACGTGTTGATATAAATCTGAGTGATTTAAATGTTCTGTTAAATTTTTATTATGTTCCCTCACTCTACATCATTGTTGTAATGGTCTCACTGGATATCTTGTGAGTCGTGATGCTTCTTTGCATCTGAATCCGGGAGATCTGAACACCACATGACTTATGTTTGTAGTCTGAGGTCTACAAACATAAGTCATGTGTCATGTGCATAGAAACTATGCTCAGTTTATATGCATTCTAAATCTGGACCAAACTTTCAGAAAACTGCAAAACAGCTGAAAGACTGAGTTTCTTTAAATCAAAGCTGAAAACCCACCGGCTTATAGCTGTCTTTGATGATGGCGGTTAACAAAGTGTAATGTTTATTGTTTCACATTTGGTGACTGTAAGATGTTTTTATGATGTAAAGCACTTTGAACTGCCTTGTTGTCGAAAATGTGATATACAAATACATTTGACTTGACTTGTCATGGAAGCTCAGAGTGACTCACCCCAAAAAACATCTGAACTACACTGCATCAAGTCAGCAACATGTAGATGCAAGATTTAGTTTTTCAGTTATTTATGAATCAAATTATACTGGCCTTGACCTGCCACTGCTCTTTTACTACTTAGATTTGTGTGCAGAAAAAGAAAAAGGAAAACTAAGAAAAACTGACATTCTTTTTAATATTTAGTTTTGTGTTTAGTGATTTTAATATTTCATTTTATATTGATGTTTTAAAATGAAAACATGGATGACTGTGAGAAAAAGGGGAAGAGTCTCAGGTAAAACAAAGTTGTTCTTACCACACAATTTATTTACTTCATCCATTATCAAGTTTCTCCTGGAATTCATGATTGTTTTTTAAACCAGCAGTGCATCAAGTGTAAGAAATACTGTCAACTGGAAATAGAAGTTTAGTCACTGAAACTCAATGTTTATTTTTTTTCCTGAAAATTTGCAATAATTTCACAATTATGAATCAGTATAAGAATATATAAATAAATTTCCACAAATTTGCAACTCTCCATTCATCAGTTTTACAGATTGATATTTGAAGCCTGACATACGTATCTCTCACTTAAAAGAAAATGTTTGTTTTTAAATGCTAAAGAATGACTTGGAACTCCAGGAGTCTTGATTTATAAAAGTCTGAAATGTTTTTAAAAAGTGTAGGGACCCTGCAGGATGCAAACTGATAGAAATTTTTCCTCTCACCTGGTCCACAAACATGTGACTGTACAGGAGGGTAAAACACTTTTTCTTTGCCTGTTTTTTTTTGTTTTCATGTGAAGTTGTGTGTGTATGTGTTGTCTGTGTGCAGAAGAAGGTCGTCCTGCGGTTACAGTTTCCGAGAAGCCTGACGTCCCGCCTCCTCGGCGGCAGGCAGAGAGACGCAGCTTGTCCTCCAGTCCTTCCCACTCTGTCCACAACTCAAGGACACACCGGAAGCAGCATCCCGACATCCTCAGACGCACTTCTACTGTCTCTAGTAAAACACACACAGACACACAAATCAGCGATTTTTTTATTTTTTTCCCTGCAGCAGTTTTTTTTTCTTAACCCCATACAGCTGTGGTTTCTAACATATCAGAAAATGGGAAAGTTTGCCATTTTTCTTTTGTAAACACTTTGCACTTTGCTGTATGATAAATGTAAGACAAACAACAAATATGATTGAATTTTTGTTTGTGACACTTTTGTTGTTTGATTTAGCTGTTCTTTAAAGCTGTTAGCCTTTACTCTGCTGACTTGGCATCAGAACCACTGGTAACCCTGTGCCTTTCTTGAGTCTTCAAGGCTTTGATCAGATCTGCTTTATAGATGTCCCAAGAATGTTTATTTGCCTTATTGAAGATTTCTGTACATGTTAGTTGTCCAGGTTCCTGGTTTTTGTATGAGGTTTTAATATGCACCTTCACAGTCACAGTTTTGATCAGGTATACCATTTCTAATTTTTAAGTCCTTATTGAAAAAAAGATGAGTGTTGTCAGGTTCAAACTGCCAACAGTTTGTACCTGTTGTCGTTATGGAACGAAGAGTCAGTTTGACAGTTTGACATTTAACACGCAGTCTGTGGTTAATGTAGCTGGGATGTGAAGACAGCAAGCAGAAAGACAGATGGTGGCTAAAACGTTTCAGTTTGCCTTAGTCTTCTCGGAACACAATGGTTCTAATTTGAACTAAAGAGTATGTTGTCTTGATGCTAAAATACAGTCTAAGAACATTCTGCTCTGGTTCCAAATTTAGATGAAAAAAATATAGAGAATATAGAGACTATATTTATCAGTGTTTCAAAATAGGGGTAGAGAAAATAAAAAGTCCAAATATTTCTGACCGATGCATGCGAAAGAGCTCCAACTTGGCATGAGTACTGAAGTCAGGTCCCGAACATCTAGGACAGGGGTACTCAATACATCGATCGCGATCTACCGGTCGATCGCGGGGAGGTTTTGAGTCGATCTCTGCAGCAGGTGACAAACTGAAGGCCTCCAGGACGCTGAGAGCAGCACTACCTCTTCTGACAGACTTTTTAAAATATTCACTAATACCCAAAACGTCTGCAGCTTCATTAGATAATAATAAAGCCTGGAAACCTGATATCGTAACGGACTGAACATTTTTAACGTAATCTTTGCTCGGCTCGCAGGGCGCAGGCGGTTACCACGGCAACGGGTGTGCTTAACGATAAAGAGAGAAAGAGAGTAAAAAAGTGCGAGAGGTTCTGAGTTGATCACCTGTTCGGGTTATTCTACTTTGTTGCCTTCGCTGTGGTTCATCACAGCCGCTGGAGTTTCTGAACGTTCAATAAATGACAAACTTGGACTAATTACCTCGTTCGTTTGCAGTAAACATCACAACCAACATCAAATAAGACACATATATTTGATTAAATTTTAACAAACAAATGGCTTCTACCACAATAATTGTGTCAAATTACATTAATTATATCCCAAATTCAGAAGATTTGCCTGTACCTTTGCAGAGCTCTTTGGTTCCTCCTACCAGTCCTGCAGTTTCGCATAGTGACGTCATCAAACCAAATTTTGGATATAACTGACTGACACCTGCTGGCCTCAGGTTTGCAACCAGCTGCTGACTGAGAAACGAGTAACCTGCTCCCAGTATCAGAATCTCAACTGAGGAAGAAAATGCATTAGGTTTTCTATCACTTTATCATTTCTGATATAACTGATGTATATTTGCATAGAAAATTAGTCAATAGGGTTTAATTTATAATTTGTATGTCTTCATGCCATGAGGTAGATCTCAGCCGGCTGGTGAGAGAAAAAGTAGATCTTGGTCTCAAAAAGTTTGAGCACCCCTGATCTAGGATCTGTGCTCCACTTCTGCACCCATTCTGTCAGGACACACTATGAGGAAACCTTGGTGTGTCTTGTCAGAAGTATGCATGAAGAATCCAAAAGGTTGATCACAACAAGGCTGTAAAATTTTGAGTCGTGTTGGTCTGCCTCAAAAACTGCAGCATTTAAGTAGACTAGTAAGTACTTTGATCTCTGATGTTCCATCAAGAAGTTGGCTGGTGACTGGAATTGGCCGATTCTTTCCCCAACTTCAATGCCAGATGACAACTTGTTTTATTTTCTGTCAGCGAACGCATCATCCTGAGTGCTTCAAGGTAGAGACACTGTCACTTTTCAGTATCAGTGATGTGTTTGAAATGAATTCAGAGAACCTACCAGAGATATAAGTAGCTATTTGAAAGTTAAGTGTTTAATCACATCTCTGTCATTCAGACTGGCAGAGAGAGAAAAAGCAAGGCAATTTATTTGGATGGCACATTTCAGCACCAAAGCCATTCAAATTGCTTTACATCACAAAAACATAAATCAATCATCAATTATGAAACAAGCAATATTTTTTTTTGTCAGAAGCTATCATCAAAATGCTTGTTTTAACAACAGCAGACCTTTAATTTATGTTGGTGCTTTGCCATTCAATGAGGTATAAACTAACAGAAGTATTGTAAGTATTGTTCTCCTCTTTCTCCTCATTGGTGTATGATGCTTTGACTCTTTCTGTGACGCTAAGAAAGAATGTACTCTGTTCAGTGTCCCTGCTACCAGCTCAGAAAAAACCTGGGTGCAATTTCGAGGTGTGTGTGTTTGCAGGACATAGAATCCAGCGTTTTCCTACATAAATGTCTGACATACAGAACTGAAACAGTGAGGTGATGTCTTTGTAGATGAGCTGATGATATGACAAACACACATTGCCTAGTGCTTATATTGGCATTGCGCTTTCCATTTTAAAGATTTTTTTCCTTTTGTGCCATGTTTCTAATTTCTTCGTTCCTTTCCATTTCCTTTTTCACCTCTAAATTGCTTTTGCAGTCTTCCTAATGCTTTTGCAAAGGCTCTTTCAACAATTTTCAGCTCCTGCTCCATTGTGTCAAACACAAGCTGTTATATTTTTGTGCCTGTGAGTCTTACATGCCTCCTCTGTCATGGACCTGGAAGCTTGGAGAAGCCCACCTAGAGACTGACCCTGCTGGTTGGTTGGCTGTTTGTGGGACCGAGCCAGAAGTTCAGCAGTAGGAAAATATCAACAACAGTACAGAGATAACCAATGACAGCATCACACTGGATGAGAGCAACTAAAACAGTCTGAATTATGGTTATTTTGAAAAGTATTGAAAGATCGTGGTCCAGGCTGTAATGTCTCATATCTTTGTTTTTTTGTTTTGTTTTGTTTTTTTTAATTGCAGTGGATTGGCCAGGTGAGGCTTTTCTGCACTTTGTGGATTTACTAAGATGCTTTTCGGCTGTGTGTGTGTGTTTGAGTACATGGAGTATGTCTGACATTTGCACTTACTACAAAGCTTTCTATTAGTGTATGGTTTGCCTTAAAGTTTTTTTTCTTAACCTGAGAACTAATTGTATTGTTATGATTTTTAAAGCTAACATTTTGACTCTACGTGCTTATCCAGTCTAAACTCTGGCTTTTCTTATTTTGTTTCCTTTTGCGACTTTTAGGAAAGCTCTTCACTGGTTAAAGTGCATTGTCAATTATTTTTTTGCTCATTACTTACTGCATTGCGATTTCAGATTAAATATATTCAAAATGTTGACAATGCACCAGCAAAAATTCTGTTTATATGAAAGTATTTAATTTTATTTGTGTCAATTTTTGAATAATTTCTTGCATGATTCCAGATGGCAGCAGGAAGACTGATACATCTCTCAGCAGTCATGACCCTCGCACTGCTGTACAACTTCGTACCGCACTGAAGAGGCTGAAGGAGATCATGGAGGGAAAGAGCCAGGTACCAAACCCAGCAGAACAGCTGACAGTCAGTGTCCACAAACATGGTTTTCTTTTTTCCTCACCTCCCTTTTGCTTTTAGATGTCTTGAAGGATACACATATATCCGTCAAGATATCATGCAACTTTCTTCCATAAATAAGAAAAAACTTTGTTTCTGGAAGAAAGTTGTGGTTGTTCTGCTACTATCCATTGCAAAATATGTTCCCTCAACTTTCAGAGTTGGTGAATGAATCTTTCTAGAAGCATGGTCAAAAACATTGCAGTTCAATTGAAAAACATTTCATTTCTCCCAAGATAAATTTAATGTAGTCATAGCTCATGTAATCAAAGTGTCCTCAAAGAGTTATTCCGGATGTCGATGATGGGCAGGAAGGATCTCGTGTGGTGGTCAGTCTTCCAATGTATATGAATGTCTTCCAATGTATATGAATATCAAAATCTGTGCACCAAAGACTATATTTTACAGTATCATGACAGACAGGTTAGGGTTAGGTTTCTCCTACCCTTAACTGTGATTAATTGGATGAGGAAAAGCAGAAATGGACTTTAATGTGACAGAATACTAAACCACATCTCATGTTGAAAGGATAATGAAGCAGCCTGTTCCTGGTCATTGTTCACCTTCAGGACAGCGATCTGAAACAGTATTGGATGCCCGACAGCCAGTGTAAGGAATGCTACGACTGCAATGAGAAGTTTACCACCTTCCGCCGCAGACACCACTGCAGGCTGTGTGGCCAGATCTTCTGCAGCCGCTGCTGTAACCAGGAGATCCCTGGAAAGTTCATGGGTTACACAGGTGAGCAAGATCTTAGTCTTTAATCCATATCGCCAGACATGATTTGATCAATTCAATATTTTAGAGATCAATAAAATAAGTAATATTGTTGTTAGTGCTTTTTCTTATATCTTTGTTTATTTCATTTGAACTTTTTTTCCCCTCTCCCGGTGCAGGAGACCTTCGGGCTTGCACGTACTGTCGAAAGCTAGCACTAAGCTACACTCACTCTGCAGACTCCTGCTCCATCGGTGAGGACCTGAACGCCTTGTCGGACTCTCCCTGCTCTGTGTGCGTGTTGGAGCCCAGCGAGCCTCGGACACCAGTGGGAGGACGCAAAGCCAGCCGGAACATCTTCCTCGAGGAAGACCTGACCTGGCAAAGGTGAACTCACTCTGAAAACATAAAAAATCTAACACATTTCCAAAGAGTTCCAGTTGAACATTGATAAAAGGACTGAGATGCAGCTTTTTATTGTTTAGCAGGTGTCTATTTTTAAAAACCACAAAGCTGTGAAGCTAACCTTTTGGTGCCTTATGTAACAGAATTAAAAAGGACTAACATTAACTCTACCTCTACTGCATTCTCTCCTTGACTCTCTTTTCCGCTCTTGCTGTTTTCAGCTGTTTTGCTTTCTATCGACTTTCCCTGTTAACTTCCCTCTTTCTTATTGACATAGAAAAACTCCTATTGGGATGAGAAAGAAGTGAGTCTTGTTGGTTTTTCTTCATTTTTTCCCCACATCTGCCTCAACATTTAGGGCTGATGCTCTGTAGCTTTGCTCAAATGTACAGCTTATAAATCTGACTTGACATAAATAAAGCAGTTCAAAGGGAAAATGAACCACACTGTCTGTCATTAGCATGATTCACCAAGAGCCTCAGAGCACCGGCCTTGCCTCCAGACTCTCCACCCTCCAGGAGGATGTGGGGAAGTCACCAGCGAGGAAGAGGTCAGTCATTCGCTCCTTTATCTTGTTGGTAGTTCTGCTAAAACAAAACTTGTTTTTTCTATATCAGGTCTTCATTTTCTTAACTTTAGCTTATTCCTTTGTTTCAAAAGATATCTAATGTGTTCAAAATACCAATCTTATGAAGTGTGAGTCCTCACACTTCCTCACTAAATCGAGCTGTTTGTGTTCTGGAATGTCTGTTTTGTAATTTAGAAGTTCCAAAATAACAGAAAATAGTCATTTCACCTGGATGGACTCCTGGACTTTCTTTGAATATTGTTTCAGAAATTCCTGACGTGTCGTTATTGTAGTCCCGAAGAAACACTTCAATTTCTCCAAATGTGATTGGTTCATTTTGTATTGATTCTGACCCAATTGAGTATCTTTGAATATTTTTTTCTAATATCAACTATATCAAGATATCAATTGTTTTGAGAAGAGTCGAGGGCAGTCAACCTCATTGGTGCAGACAGAGCACATGCAGAGAGTAACAGGAGATGAAATATTGTTATTATCAGGACATTGCTGCGATAGATGTAATTTACTGTATTATGTTTTACAGTCGTTGGACTCATACTGCTGGTGGCAACTTAGCTGGTGTTCCATTTGCATAGACTATAGTATCAATATCTGCTTCTTTCTGTTTTTCAGTTATTACCTTATAAATCTGTGCACACTGAATTCAAATTTATTAAATTTGTGTCGTGTAAGGGTCAATAGATTTCTTACTTTTTAAATTAGGATAAGTTCATACCCTGATTATTTAGAATGGTGATCAAAGGGAAATAAATGAGCAAAACTAGTTCAGAGCAACTCCCAGACAAGAGGGGAGACCAAATAAAAACTAAAACTTGTTTAAAGTAAAACAATTTTTTTGAGAGGAAATTACATCATAGTGATCAATAAGGTTTGCTTTTGACCAATCTGTAGCTGATGTTTTTGTGAACTCGTATTTTGTCCTTCTGAGGTCGGCCAGTGTGACCAACCTTTCACTGGACCGGTCTGGATCCACCCTGGTTCCGGCCTACGATAGCTCAGTCAGTCCGCCCACCAGCCGGGCCGTGGCTGGCACGAAGAGCGGCACCAAGCTTGACCACAGTGAGGAGGAGAGGAAGATCCTGCTGGTGTGTGCTTTGGTCTAAATGTCTGGTTGTGAAGTTCACAGTGTCAAAAAGAGAGAACTAACGGAGTCTGAGGCTGCGTATGGTCTCTTCTGGGGGCCCATAGTCTGGACTTTTGACTCTGGAATACCCTTCTGTCAGACTATTCACCCTGTGAGCCTTAATGGGCTTTTCAATAAAATCTTTGTCAGTTGAAATGAGAAAACCATGTGCTTAATGGGATAGTTTGGATATTTTTTAAAAGTGATGTTATGATCACTCAGTATCTTACCTAACCTAGATGACTTCTAAACATCTTATTTGCGTAAATGTTACATTAAAATTATGTTAAAATGAAAAACTCAAACAGTTCAACTGAACCTTTGTTCATAGAATTCCCTGCTGCATTATTATCTCTTCAGATGGTGTCCCTGGCAACCCATGCTTATGGCCAAATCATAACATCCCTCTACAACACAGATCGAAGGTTATTCTCCCAGACTGTAACCCTAGCATAGTTTTTGTTGTAATTAACCTGTGACTTCTGCATAAATAGATGTTCAGTTCAAAGTTTAAATGATTAAAGTGTTTGAAGCTTAGTGATGATGTTTAAAGTTATGCTCCGTTATGATGGAAAAAATTGTAATTGCCCTAATCCTATCGTCTCTAATCCTGTTCAGCTTCCATGATAACCATACAAAACATGGATAAAGAAACTATCTACCTCGGGTAAGATACTGACTGCTCATAATCCCCTCCTATTGAAGACTTAATGGAGCTCACAGAAGAGAACATGACCTCGCTGGATGTCCTAGTTAAATAAGCTGGTGGTTTAAATTCCAAACAGTGTTCTGGGTGGGTTTAGGGATACTTCTAAGCTGTCAGTCAAATTATTCAAAACGTTTCCTCATGATGTCTGACATCACAGAAACTTTGTTCCAGGATTCTTCCCAGCTCAAGGAGCTTTGGAAGAAGATCTGCCACAGCAATACAGGTATGGAGTTTCAGGACCACAGATACTGGCTGAGGACCTACCCCAACTGTATTGTGGGAAAGGAACTTGTTAACTGGCTGCTGAGGAATGGTACCATCTCCACCAGGTAGAATGTCGTTGGGCGTAGGAACGTTTAAGGCTTTCTGTCATCTCTCCAACTAATGTGAGAAGAGAAACACTTGCACTGTAATCTATGTGTAGGGCCCAGGCTATTGCAATAGGCCAGGCATTAGTAGACGGTCGCTGGCTTGATTGCGTCACTCACCATGACCAGCTGTTCAGAGATGAGTACGCCCTTTATCGCCCCCTGCAGGTAGGAGTCCATTTACTTAACACAAAGGAATAGAAAAAACTGAAATGTTTTTTTTTCCTCCAGGATATTTATCGTCTCTCCATCTGTACCAGAGCACAGAGTTCTCGGAAACGCCCTCTCCAGACAGCGACAGTATCAACTCCATCGAGGGACAGTCAGAGCCATCCTGGTTCAAGGACATCAAATTTGACGACAGCGACACAGAGCAACTTGCCTATGAGTCTGACTACACCGTGCCAAGTAGGCATGACACCCGACAGCTTGGTGAGGCTGAGTGTGTTGGTGTATGTATTAAAACCTGTCTCTGTCCAGATTCTGCCAGCCCCAGCAAGAGGACATCGGTAAGCAGCTTCCATTCAGCGGTGGACAGCGACTCCGCTGCCTCCATCAACCTCAACATGGAGCAGAACAATGTGAACTTTCACATCAAGAAGCAGTCAAAGTACCCACATGTGCCACCTCCTGCAGACCAGAAAGGTAGGAAGATATGTTTAAAGATCTTCTACATAGATTCTGTAGAGCAATGATGCCCACAGTGGGTTCTTGAGGGCTGGCAACCTGCATATTTTAGTTATCTCCCTGGTTGAACTCACCTGGATCAAATGATGATCCAGGTGTCTTCATGCTGAGAAAGTTGTAACTACCACCAGGGAGAGAACTACAACATGGGCACCATGATTTAAAACTACATCATGCAACTTTTACAAAAAAAAAAAAAAATGTGCTAAAACTGTCACTATGTTGGGACAGTCTAATATGAGACAGATAATCTGTGAAAAGATTGGTCTGCTCCACCTCTTTTATCCTTCCTAAGCTAATATTGCCATCTGAAGAAATGCACTGCTAATGGGTGCTCAAACTTTTTGAGACCAAGATCTACTTTTTCTCTCACCAGTCGGCTGAGATCTACCTCATGGCATGAAGACATACAAATTATAGATTAAACCCTATTGACTAATTTTCTATGCAAATATACATCAGTTATATCAGAAATGATAAAGTGATAGAAAACCTAATGCAGTTTCTTCCTCAGTGAGATTCTGACATTGGGAGCAGGTTACTGGTTTCTCAGTCAGAAGCTGGTTGCAAACCTGAGGCCAGCAGGTGTCAGTCAGTTCTGGTAGATCCAAAATTTGGTTTGATGACGTCAATATGCAAAACTACAGACTGATAGGAGGAACCAAAGAGCTCTGCAAAGGTACAGGCAAATCTTCTGAATTTGGGATATAATTAATGTAATTTGACATAATTATTGTGGTAGAAGCCATTTGTTTGTTAAAACTTAATCAAATATATGTGTCCTATTTGACGTTTGTTGTGACGTTTACTGCAAACGAACGAGGTAATTAGTCCAAGTTTGTCATTTATTGAACGTTCAGAAACTCCAGCGGCTGTGATGAACCACAGCGAAGGTAAACAAAGGTAAAATAACCCGAACAACTCAGAACCACTCGCACTTTTTTACTCTCTTTCTCTCTCTTTACCGTTAAGCACACCCGTTGCCGTGGCAACTGCCTGCGCCCCTCAAGCCGAGCAAAGATTGAGTTAAAAACGTTCAGTCCGTTACGATATCAAGTTTCAGGCTTTATTATTATTTAATGAAGCTACAAACGTTTTGGATCTTAGTGAATATTTTTGATAAGCCTGTCAGAAGAGAAAGTGCTGCTCTCAGCGTCCTGCAGAGATTGACTCAAAACCTCCCCCGCGATCGACCGGTAGATCGCGATCGACGTATTGAGCACCCCTGGTTTAAAACAACCAATAAGAGCCAGGAGGAGGGGCTTAGAGCTATCAGTCAATTTGTGTAAGTAATGCTTAATGTGCTAATGGTGGAAAACAACTTAATGTTCCAGAAAAGCAGTTTATCCACCATCATCAATAGCCATGCTAACTAGCCCTAGCATTCATGACAGGCTATGTTGTAGTGAACCAGCTGTAGCTTAGCAGAGAGCGAAGGGGAGGCTGTGAATAACACATACATGAGTGTGATTGATGGTGCTAAGACCCTCCTCCTGGCTCTTATTGGTTGCTTCTGATCGAGCAGTTCATTTGTTCAGATGATGGCAGAACTGTAGGAGAAGGCAGGGGAGCCCAAACTTTTCATAGATTGTCTGTCTCATACACAAAATAGTGAGAGTTTTTACAAATAAGTCAGAATCGTACTTTTTATAAAAGTTGCATACTCTAAAACATTGCTGAATATAGCAGAACTTTTCTAGTTGAGAATGTTTTGGGGAGAAATTTTTTTTCCCGGCCATCGTTTTGCTGCTTCCTCTAGTGCAGCATGCTGATGCTTTGCATATAGTGCATACTCACTTTTTACTTTGAAATAATCCCTATTGCGTTCACTTCCATTAAGCTTGTTGTGCACACTCTTCCAGCCGAGTTTCTCATTTCGGAGGACGGAGGGCAGAACATCATCATCAGTGATGCCTTCATCAAAGGTAGGGACTCATCGCTTCCTCATTCTGCAGTCTTGTTGTGTCACATGAGCAGCTCCACAGAGCTCTTCCTCTTTTTGAGCTGCTGTTTGTGATACAGAGTCTCTGTTCAACCGTCGCGTGGAGGAGAAGGCCAAAGAAATGCTGTTCACTCCGCTGGGCTGGCACCACAGCTCTCTGGATCAGCTCAGAGAGGAGAATGGGGAGAAGATGGCCATGGAGAGGCTGCTGTGAGTGGAGGACCATCTGTGTTTGTGGTTCATGATTGCTGTGAGAAGCTGGGATTGAAGTCAGGGCTTCTTGTACCTTTGGTCCCTAGCTGCTCATGTCTGTAAAACCAAGAAGACGGTGTATTTAAATAGATTGTGCTTTTATGAACAGTCCACAAACTAACACTAGTTGTGTAGTAACTCAGAACAGATTGATTTGCTCTTTTTGAACACTCGTGACTTATAGGCTGTAGTAAATAATTAAACTAGATTCATTGTCTTGATGGATGGATTTACTTCAAATAACCTTTTATGGTGTTTGAAAAAATATTGTCTTTTTGCAGGTAGATCACATCCATGAATATTTTCCAGGCACATAGTGCTATTTTATAGCACAAAGTCAAGCAACTATGTTACCTTCAGTTGCTACATAAATCAGATATGACTTAAAAAAAATTAAATTGTGATTTAAAACTTTGAAATTGGGACTGTGTCTCTTTAAAAACTCCTGCTTTTTCTGAATCTCTACCTTCAGGAATTTATTACAACATGACACACTGTTCTTTAGAACCCCTTGAATATATTTCTGGCTGTTCTGAGCAAAAATGATCAGTTTTTTGCTCTTCCTTCATGGATTCAGTGACTGACAATTAATCTGGCTGATCTTTTCAGCTCAGCCAACCACAGCCACATGATGGCGCTGCTGCAGCAGCTGCTCTACAGCGAGTCTCTGTCTCTGTCCTGGAGGGACATCATCGTTCCTGTGGTTCGGCAAGTGGTCCAGACTGTCCGGCCCGACGTTCGCAACTGTGACGACGACATGGACATCCGACAGTTGGTGCACATCAAGAAGGTCAGACTAGCTCTTTCACCTCTGTGTTTGGGATATTAAGAGGGAATTTGGACAGCCTGTCAGTTATTTTCCAAAACTTCCAATGGTTCATTGGAATTAGCTGAGACGTTTGAACTGAATGAGCTCTCCAAAAAGCTCAGCTCGTCTAGTTTCAGTTTTTGAGGCAAGTAAAACCATATGATAGAACCATGCATGATTTACCATACTGGCAAATCAGATTTAGCTGAATGGTAAATCAGTATCCTGTTTTCACAATAACAGTGCTTCCTGAAAACAGTTTGAAAGGAAACTGAAGATGTTTTATTTAGCTTTTACTTTAAGTTGTCTTTACACAAGTTTATGAGAAAAAAATTATTTAGTTTTTATATTTAACAATGTCTATAAATGAGGAATTTATTGAATATTTTTCCATCAACATTTTCATTTGAGCTATTTTATCCTTTCATTACAACCATAAGACATAGTTCCCCAACTAGTCTTATTAAAATGTATATATTTTATTTAGTTATGAATAATTTCTCCTTTTTATTAATTTGTTTTTATATTTTGTTTATATTTAGAAGTCTTCACACTAGACTTGTTTAATTTTCTTTTGAATATTATTTGTATCTGTTAGTTTATTTATAATGTTTTGTGCATACAATTGATACTAGAGGTTTACATACATTCAATAAAGATGCACCTTTTATTTCTCTCTGTCTGAAACTTTTCTTGTTTTAGGTCAGGTAGAATTACCAAAATTATGTCTGTTTGCTAATGACAGAAGACTTGGCGAGAACAATTTTGGGAATTGTTTCTCCCTTAAATTCAGAGGTTTATATACAGAATTTCTGTTTCTTTAAAAAATAAGGGAAAACCCAGATGATAATTTCACAACTTTGGATCTTTCTAATTGATGAACTTAGACATTTAAGTCTTCAGATTGTTCTTAATAAATTCACTTCAGACAGTGAGAAACACAAGAAACACAAGGGCATGTCTTTTTATTCAGTATATGTAAACTTCTTGTTTTGTCTGTATATGGAGTAGAAATTCCTTTAGTTTCCTGCACCACATTCATGCTCCTGTGTGATGTTCAACAGATTTAGTCTCTTTTGATGTATTTGACAATGTTTGTAGGGTTTTCATCCATTTGGCACAGTGGGGCATTGGTCATTTTTTATCCTGTAAAGCACTTTCTGTTGCACACCGTTGTATGAAAGGGACCATAAAAATAAAGGGGAAATGATGGGGTTGAATAAATCTCACCTATCTTTGTGGTTCAGATTCCTGGAGGCAGGAAGTTTGACTCCATGATGGTAAACGGCTTCCTGTGCACCAAGAACATCGCCCACAAGAAGGTAAAGGCATTCTCTGTCTGGCTAAAGTTTCCATTGTTGAACATTTTGCACCAGCACAAATGCAGAAAAAGGTTCTGATAGTCAAAGTATTCATAGTCATAGTGCTGTTATTAAAGTGTAATTCTCACCTGAAATCAGATGAACTCCTCCATCAAGAACCCCAAAATTCTGCTGTTGAAGTGTTCCATCGAGTACCTGTACAGAGAAGAAACCAAGTTCACCTGCATTGAGCCCATTGTGCTCCAGGTGAGGCGGTTATTCTGACACAAAGATGCATGAGTCACACCTCTGTTGTGAAACTCATGTTATTGCCACCTCCGCTACAGGAACGGGAATTCCTGAAAAACTATGTTCAGCGGATCGTAGATGTCCGCCCTAACCTGGTGTTGGTGGAGAAGACGGTGTCGCGTATCGCTCAAGACATGCTGCTGGAGCACGGCATCACTCTGGTCATCAACGTCAAATCGGTCAGTGGGACATGTTTCAGCTATCAGGTGGTTGATAATGCCCTCTGTAGAAGATAAGGAAGACAGATGGTACTCGTATTCCCTCTTCAAACACATTATATGCATGCCCTGTGAGTAGTTATAACCTTCACAACATCAAATGGTATCGGCCAAAATAAGAATCATTTCTAACTTTCTGTCATCAGAAAGTGGCACTAACTGAGAATGTTCAGGTGAAGAGGTGAGAGAAATAAACCTAACCTATGTCTCTACACACATCGCCCTAAAATCACTGGGAAGAGACGGAGTCAACACAGGCTCAAGTCAACTGCAGAAGGAAAAGATTTGTGATGGCAGAAAGTTAGAAAGTTGATCTTTAAAAGGTCAGGCCTTTTAAAGATCAGGGATTGGCCAGAAAACTGCAGTGGTTGCACCCTGAATCCTCAACATAAAAAGTTATTTTCTCTAATTACAGTGAAATAGAATGGCAATGCATGTTTTGGATAAAAGCACTATCCCAATTTGTTCTTTATAGGTTAATTAATAGGGATTATAACTTGTTCTTTCTCCATGGTAGCAAGTCTTGGATCGAGTGAGTCACATGACCCAGGGGGATCTGGTGATGTCCATGGACCAGCTCCTCACCAAACCTCGCCTGGGAACCTGCCACAAGTTCTACATGCAGCCCTTCTCCCTGCCCAACAGTAAGACCCTCTGTCAGCTGCCGTCTGTCGGACATGCAGTCATTCCTCTCTGTTTTTTTCCAGACGAGTCAAAGACTCTGATGTTCTTTGACGGCTGCCCGCCTCACTTGGGATGCTCCATCAAACTGCGCGGCGCACCAGAGTATGAGCTAGCCAGGGTGAAAGACATAATTATGCTGATGGTGTGCGTTGCCTACCACTCCCAGCTGGAGATCTCCTTCCTCATGGACGAGTTTGCTATGCCCCCCAGCTTACCCCAGAGTAGCTCCTTTCCATGCCTCCTGGAGTGCTCTGCTCCCGATGAGGAGATGGACGGAGACAGCATGGAGAAAACGGCAGTGAGCGATAACTCTACGTTGGGGGAACAATCTGAAGACGCACCTTTTCCGGAGCCTTCAACTAAAACTGAAGATATAGATATTCTCAGAGTCACGCAAAACCCCCAGCCGGTTCTGTTGTCCGTCCAAGAGGAGGCTGGAAACTCTGAGACCAGGACTTCTTCTCCTTGCTCCAGTCCTCCCCCCCCTCCTCTATCCATCTGTCCTCAGTTCCTTGTTGGGGAGGAGCAGGAAATGGGCTCAGACACTCTGGTCAGCACCTCTGAGGGGGAGACATTGGGAGAACTTGGTTTGGAGGATGAGGAGCGCTCAGGTACCCCCACCCCTAAGTTATTCCGAGACCCCTTGCAGGACGACACAGGGATGTTCATTGCTGAACACGTGGACTCCTCCGACGACCGCCTTAAGTCCATCTCTGCTGTGTTTAAACATGAGCTAAAGGACATCATCCTGTGCATTTCCCCCTTCATTACTTTCAAAGAGCCATTCCTCCTCACACCAGGGGGCATGCACTGCCCCAGCAGGGACTACTTCCCTGAAGAGGTACTGCTGTCTTGACTCAAAGCTCAAGATTGGAAACTAAAGCTTCTCTAGTTTGTTGTTATCCCTTGTAAGTGTTGTAAGTATTTGTCTCTCCTGTAGGTCTACCTGTCTCCTCTCCTCAGCAAGGACCTGAAGGAGCTAGATGGACGCAGAAAACGCCAGCTGCTCAAAGACTCAGCTCCATCCTCTGCGGCCAGCGGACAGACCAACGGCACCACCCAGCCCAGACCCACCGACGTCCTGCCCTGCCACGGCCTCACCACCACCCGCATCGTGGATCACCTGAGCAGCAGCCAGGACCTGGCCAGAATGTTGGCAGACTACAGAGCAAAAGGTGGCCGGATCCGGCAGAAAGAAGCAAGCGACGCTTTTGGCTCTGCTGGCCCTGCTGCTGCAGGCAGCAGCAGCCAGAATCGGGCACCAGATGTTCCGGTCAAGCCGCTCGGAAAGGCTGAGAGCGAGGAGGAGAAAACAGGCAAACAAAATGACGTGAACTGGACCCCAAAGGTACAATTTATGGATAAGACACTCTATCTTTTAACCTCCTTAAAATCCTGAATTTCTTAATTATATCTGGACTGTCTTCAGCCAGTCTGGACAAACCTGGAAAATTACTGTGTAGGTCTGGATTAATACTTAAGAAGGAAAACTTCAATGTGGGAAAACATTAGATTTTATTTGTTTTTTGCATTTTCTGCTGCTCAAAACTAGAGCTGGATGACATGGCTGTAAAACATCTCATGATATAAATGTTTCATATTAGTCATTAGATAATTATTAATTGGTTATTTGTTTTAATATCCTAAATACTGGTGATAGGACATTTCCTGTTTTATACAGTTTCCTTTTAAGCTGTTTGATTCTTTTTCTTCTTTCACTCCACACCATTGTTTTCCATTTATTACCAGTTGTGAAACTTGGTGGCAAAACATGAGTTAAATTATCAAAATTCTACCATACATACTTTCTATAGAGTGATCATTTGTTTTTGTGTAAACACAGCGAATACATGCACAAATTGACTGCAGAAAAAGTAGGCTGGCCTTTAAAAGCTCTCTGGTTTGCCATGGGTACCTACATTAGCTAGCATGCTGTCAGGATACTACTAATGTTTTATCACAACATGATAAAATAAGTTAGGAGGCAATTTGCTCTGGTGGCAAATTGTAAATTATCTACTTTTAAGTAGTTAAGTCATGACTACTACTAAGTATACATGACTTAACTACTTAATGCTGCTTCTTGAAGTGCAGCAAGGTTCCATAAAGACATGAAACAAAGCTGTCCTCCTTGTCAACTTAAAAGTTTTCAGGGTGTCTGCCTCACAGGCTAAAACTGTGAGCTGGTTCCACAGGTGACGAGCCTGATAACTAAAGGATCTGTCTCCCTGTCTATATTTTGACAAGGTTCTAGGAACTAGCAGTAAACCTGCAACCTGAGAGCAAAGTGCTCTGTTAGGAACATCTGGACCAATCAGGTATCTGATATGTAATAGAGCTAATTAATAAGGGCTGTTTTGCAAGAAATATATTATATTCTATTCTGGATTTAACAGGGAGCCAATGAAGAGAAGCTAAAATAGGAGAAACATAATCTTTTTTTTTTTTTAATTTTCATCAGAATTCTTGCAGCAGCATTTTGGATCAACTGAAGACTTCTCACTTCCTGACTGTAAAGAACTACTGGTAGAAGTTTCAGTGGTTAGCTTAGCTAACCAAATCAGAGGTGCTGATTTATAAATGGTTCTTCTTCTCTTTCCTTAGCTGGACTGTTTGAACCCGACCAACCATCAGAGGCTCTGTGTGCTGTTCAGCAGCTCCTCCCTTCAGTCCAACAATGCGCCCAACCCCTGCGTCAGCCCCTGGTAAGCTGCTCACACGCAGAATGTCTGAGTCAGAACCATCGCTGTTTGGACTCAGTGTGTGTGTCTTTCAACAGGATCGTCACCATGGAGTTCTATGGCAAGAACGATCTGTCGCTGGGTGTGTTTCTGGAGCGGTATTGCTTCAGGTGAGACTCGCTTCAAGTGGCTGTAGCCGGTTTTAGGGTCCGTTGGCTTCAACGGATGTTTGCTCTGCAGGCCATCGTACCAGTGTCCCAGCATGTTCTGTGAGACTCCCATGGTGCATCACGTACGCCGCTTCGTGCATGGCAGCGGCTGCGTGCAGATAGTGCTGAAGGAGCTGGACTCGCCCGTCCCAGGCTACCAGCACACCATTCTTAACTACTCATGGTGCCGTGTCTGCAAACAGGTGAGCCACATATGAGGTTGGGTCTGCTGGGAAATCACTTCTGCTGCTGTTTTCCCTCCCTGTTAACTCTGTGCTGCCCTCTGCAGGTGACTCCAGTGGTGCCTCTGTCCAATGATTCGTGGTCCATGTCTTTCGCCAAATATTTGGAGCTTCGCTTCTACGGCCACCAGTACACCAGGCGAGCCAACGCCGAGCCCTGCGGACACTCCATCCATAAAGACTACCACCAGTATTTCTCCTACAACCAGATGGTAGCTTCCTTCAGGTTGGTCTCCTCCTGCTCACTGCCTTCTGACCTCCAACAGATCAACACGAATATCACCTTTTAAAGGGCAATATTTTGCAAAGTTGACTTTTTAAAACTTTATCATGTAATACTCGTATTCCCTCTTCAAAAACATGGTGTGGTGCTTGGATTTTTTTTTTCATGAATGACTGAGAAATCCTTGAATCTCCCATGGCAACCATTTGGGGTTGCCTAAACATTTGCTTTCAATTTAATTCAAAAATACTTTATTCATCCCAAAGATAAATTAAATTATATCACAACACTACAAAACTCCTTCTTGGAGGTCCAGTCCCCAAGCTGATCATCTGCTTCACAGGGCACCCGTTTTCTACTTACCTCCTTCAGACTAGCCAGCTGAAGGAGCTAACCTGGTGTTTGCTAACCACCAGGTTATCAAACACCTGGTGGAACTGAACATCAGCTGAAATCATTATAGGATATATTTCAGTACAACCGCCCTTAGGTGGTTGGAAATGCCATGATGTAGAAGCGCTGTTGTGATGACTTCCTGTAAAAGTGGGGTGATGATGGGGGTAGGAACTTTTTAAAGAGACAGAGGTCCAATTTCAATGCACCTAATTGCAAAGTCAAATGTCTTGAGTAGTTTTATATTTACAGCATTTCTAAAAGTGGAAGTAACGCAGTTACTTTATTGTGCTATAAAATCACATTATATGCATGGAAAATGCATAATGCAATTTAAAAAATCCTTTATTGACCCACAAAGGGAAAATTTATTTTCAGAGTGACGGGCAATAACAGCAAATAGTCTCACAAAGATAAAATAGATGTAAAAACAAGATGAAGAATAAAATACTGTGCAGTTAAGGCAAACTTTCAATGTAAATACTTTATAAAAAATACTCCAGTTCAGAGGAATGCAACTGAGTTGGATCAATAAAAAATGTTTGACACTTTGAGCCCTAAAAAGACAAACTATTTACAATTAGTGACAATAAAAACTGAACAAAAATGATCAAACAAATATAATAATGCCCCTTTTTAGAAGAAATTGGTGTAGAAGAGAATCTTGTGTTGAAGCATTTATTCATCAGAATTCACATCTCCTTCAGTAAACTGATTAATCTATACTTGTGCAGCTACACCTCTGTCCGGCTGCTGGAGATCTGTCTTCCTCGTCCCAGGATCTTCATCAGGAATCTGGGCCCGTCCAAAGCCAACCTGCAGCAGGACCTAAAGGACTTCTCTCAGAAGTGAGTGGATCCGTTCTTCTGGTGTCGCTCCACTGTTCCTGTTCCCACCCAGAACAGACCAGGTGCTGTTCTGACCGGTTCTCTCTCTGTGCAGGGTGGTTCAGGTGTACCTGGCCATCGACGACCGGCTCACCTCCCTGAAGACCGACACGTTCAGTAAGACCCGGGAGGAAAAGATGGAGGACCTGTTTGCTCAGAAAGATGTAGGTGATGGTCCTCACCCCTCACCCAGAGTGTCTGGACCCTGGGTTGGCCTCATGTTTGGTTTCTGATGGCAGATGGAGGAGGCGGAGCTTCGCAGCTGGATTGACAAGCTTCAGGGGCGCCTGCAGTCGTGTGGCCTGGACTCCCCTCAGCAGCTGCAGGTCGTCATGGAGTCACTGGTGGTGAAGAAGCAGAATCTGTGTGAGATGCTGCAGTTCTGGAACAGCAGGTAGGAGCCGACGCGTTCAGTCCGTCTGTAGAACCTGATCTGTTGTTTCAGCCAGCATGTCTGAAACAACTTCATACGGCTTCACCTAGTGGTAGAAAATAAAATGTTCAACATCTGTAAAATTTAGTCTTGATGTCAACTAAACATCAGACTAGCAGGTTCTGCTAATGCAGGGGTGTTCAATATGTGACCAGGGTCCAATTGTGGCCCTTAAAAAAGGAAAAATTTGGAATTTGTCTATAGTTCTTGTACTAAGGTTCAGAGCCTTTTTTGTGCCGGATCTCGAATGATACACATATTTCATTAAAAAAATGGTTTATTGTTGCACATGTAAGCAAAACTTAAAAGAATCAATCTCATCATCTAATATATGCATTTTTAATATAATAAATTTTGTGGCCTGACAGTAGTTTAAATTTGCCAGTTTTGGCACCCTGGGGAAAAGGTTTTAACACCACTGTCCTAATCAAAGTAACTGATGATCAGATCTACACAAAAAACATAGTAGTCTGTTGATCAAACACCATGGAGAAGCTATTGTTGGTAATAAGACTATGGCAAGGGTTCAAAAGTCATTTTCAAACCAGAGTGTAAACATTTCAAACAAATGCAACTCACTGACTGATCACCAAGCAGGAAAGATCTCAGCAATGACCTCAGAGCAGATGGGAACTCCAGGATTCTACACTGAGATTATTAAGGTGCAATTTATGCAGTGCATTATTCATTCATGAATGTAAAAAATAAAAGTGCATAAAAAATAAAAACACAGAGAAACTGCACTTTGAGGCCCATGACAGCACCCTAAGAAAAACACTGAAGCATCTTGTGCTTCATTAAAGCTGGATGTTTTTCACTCCTGCAGACTCCAGGACCTGTTCCAGCAGGAGAAAGGCAGGAAGCGTTTGTCCGTCCCACCGAGTCCAGGCAGACTCCGACCCAACACCACTGACGACACCAAGGTACGTGTCGCTGCTGTGCTCAGACACCACTAGCTGCTCTAGCCACAAGCTCTGGTTAGCTCTGCTGAGATGTAGAAATGCTGCTCTTGCCTCCTCTGTATCTTATAAGCTGGTAAATCATCCAGTTTACCAGCTTATTATTAAGGAAGGAACTATTTTTGAAGTTTTTCCTGATTGAGCTAGCTAGTTTTTATTTTTTAGTATTTTGATATTCCAGCTCTCTGGTTCCTCACTTCCCTTCTAACTGGACAGAGGAAGCATCTGAAATGAGACCATGTGTTATTCAGCTGACCAACCCTTGTGAACCCTGTCCAGAGTGAGCAGCTGCAGTGTTTTGGCTGCTAATCCTCTATGTTTTTGTGTTTGCAGAGCGCTCTGGACTCCTCCCCTCGGAACCCGTCCCCTGTGGTCCAGAATGGGGAGAAAGGTGGGTTCAAATAACTTCCACATTCTTTGTCCTAAAAAATGGTTTCCTGCAGGTGGTGGTGTGTGAAGCTGCTGTTTTTTTCTCATCAGAGGACCGCCACCTGTGCCCGCTGCCCTCAACCACCTCGTCCTTGCTGCCGTCACCTGCAGACCCCGGAGCTGATTCCACCACAACTGGACCAAGTTTCAGTGAACCGGACTCCGTCAGCATCCCTGAAGGTTCACAGATTCACTCTGACATGTACAGCCACTTTATTTTTTCTGCTTCTGCTCTTCACATTTTGATTCTGTGGCCTTCCAGATGTGTTTGACGGCCACCTGCTGGGCTCTACCGACAGCCAGGTGAAGGAGAAATCCACCATGAAAGCCATCTTGGCCAACTTTCTGCCTGGCAACAGTTACAACCCCATCCTTATCCCGTTGTAAGTGTCGTGTCAGAGTTAGTTCCTGAGCTGGAAGACGGCCTCTTCCAGCTCAGAATTTTACAAGAGATCTGGTCTCTTGTTAAATGTGGCGTTTTGTAATTGAAATGAACCCTGCAGTTAATAGAAAAGTACTTAATGAGACGGTGGTGTGAGTGTTACAGTGATCCAGATAAACACTACCTGATGTATGAACATGAGCGGGTGCCAATCGCCGTGTGTGAACGTGAGCCGAGCTCCATCATCGCCTTTGCTCTCAGGTGATCTTTCACCCCCATTATCCTCAGATTGCTTCAGCTCAGCGTTGCTGACCTGGTGTTTTGTTCTGTTGTTGTCCAGCTGCAAAGAGTACAAAATGGCGCTGGATAACCTGTCCAAGTTGTCCAGCACAGCCGGAGAGGACGCTCCGCAGCCTGTCAGGTACTCAACTTTCATGTTATGTGAACGGCTTCGGCAGGTTTGATGTCACCTTGTGTTTAAGGCAAATGGGCCCATTTGCCTTAAACACAAGGCACGTGGGCCTCTAGACTCCAAATTACATGAACAAGTCTCTCCAGCTTTTCAACTAATCTGCAAAACTCACTCAAAGTTCACACAAAGTTTACAGATTACAACATTTTTTCCAGTGCAAATGTTTCTCAAAATTGGCCAGACATATTGAGTTAAAACGACTTCTGCCTCAGCCTTACTTGATGTCAAGTCCGTGTTTGATATGGGGATTAATAAAAAGTCACATTTAACATCATTCATGAGTACAAATTTCATAAAAAGTCCTTAAAACAATTTCTTAATTAGTGCCACAAAATCTGTGATTTTGATTGCAAAAAGAACCACAAAAACAATTGCAAAATCTTATTCCGGTGGCTGAACACAAGTTTAATACTTTCTATTGACAAACTGCCTGAAATAGTTTGTCAGGTAGTTCTGAGACTACCCGACTAATGTCAGTGAGTCTCACAACAGCAGCTGCAGCAGGTCTGACCTCTGATTCCTCTGGGTGTGTTCAGTGCAGAGAATCGGGTGAAGAGCAGCCCTGCGAGGCCCAGTGAATCTCTGGCCGCGCAGCAGAGTCGCATCAGCGCCGAGGGCGAGCCTCTCAGTACGGATCCACACATTCTAACGAAACAAAAGCAGCATTTCACTGCAGACTGACAGATGGAAAATACTTTAAGCTTTCTGATTTTCTTATTTTCAGAAGATGCTGATTCAGCAGATAAGCAGAAGAAACAGACGGTGAATCCACACGTCGAGCTCCGTAAGTCTCTGTTTTCTCGATTTTCTCTGGAACAAACAGAATCAAATATCACACTGCTGCTTTTATGAATTGGCTGGATTTGAAATACATTTTTGGATAAATTTAAGAAAAGTAAAATCATATAGTGAACTATCTTCAAGCTTTATGTTTTTGCATAAATAAAGACATGAGCATCAGACCCTGTGGGACTCCATAAATTAATAAATATTATGTCATAACTGGAATCTCTCAGAGAAATGTGATGAAAATCAACTAAGTGCTACTTATCAGCTTAATCAAAATCCAGCTCTATGATCTAACAGGTGTAGATGCTATGAGGATATTCTTTCTCTGGGCTCAGATGACACATCCTGTAAGATCTGAGCATTTTTCATTTCCTGCTCAGAGTTTTCAGACGCCAACGCCAAGTTCTACTGTCGGATCTACTACGCTGAGGAGTTCCACAGGATGCGAGAGGAGATCATGGAGAGCAGCGAGGAGGACTTTGTCCGCTCGCTGTCCCACTGTGTGAACTGGCAGGCCCGAGGAGGGAAATCTGGAGCCGTCTTCTACGCCACTGAAGGTTAGCCAGGAAGTCTCTAGAAGGCTGCTCTATCTGCTTAAATCTTTGGCTAAAAATTCAAACTCCCGTCTCCTTGTCTCCTCCAGACGACCGCTTCATCCTGAAGCAAATGCCCCGGCTGGAGGTCCAGTCCTTCCTGGACTTTGCTCCGCACTACTTCACCTACATCACTGGAGCCGTGCAGCAGAAGGTATGCCAGCAGCTCCTCTTTCTGTTTATCTGAGGGTTCCTGTTTCTCGAAGCAGTTTAACGTTTAACCAGGTTTGGTTCACAGCGGCCGACTGCGCTGGCCAAGATCCTGGGAGTTTACCGGATCGGATACAAAAACTCCCAGAACAACGCTGAGAAGAAACTTGACCTGCTGGTTATGGAGAATCTCTTCTACGGCCGAAAAATGGCTCAGGTGGGTCAGCTCACAGCCGGGTTGTGTTCTGAGGTCTGCTGAAAGTACGGTGCCCTTAAAAGGACATTAAAGAAAAAAATAAAGACCATCTTAAATGATGGAGGTTTTTTTTGTTTGTTTTTTCTTTTGCCTTTCCTCACAATAATGTACTGATAGGTTTATGTGGCGTAACTGAATACTGAAAGTCTGTCTTATGGTGGCCACCGTACTTCCTGCTATTACACTGTGTTCCAAATTATTATGCAAATTGGATCTAAGTGTCATAAAGATTAAATTGTGCTATTAAATTTATAGATGGTATTGTGTGTCAGGGCTCTTTAAATCACAAAAATTAATTTCAGAGAGCTATTTGATTAACGAGCAAGCTGGTCGGCCCCTTCAGAGGCCCTGAAGGTGTGAAAATGACCTCAGCAAAGTATATGGACTTTCTGACTGATCACTTTCTTTCATGATTCAAAAAGAACAGCTGTACCTTCAATAGCAAAATCATCTTCATTGATGACAACGCACCATCTCATGCTGCAAAGAATACCACTGTATTGGCAGCTATGGACATAAGAAGGGAGAAACTCATGGTGTGGTCACCATCCTCCTCTGACCTCAACCATATTGAGAACCTTTGGAGTTTCCTCAAGCAGAAGATCTGAGGGTGGAATGCAGTTCATATCAAACAGCAGCTCTGGGAAGGTTTTCTGATATCCTGCAAAGAAATTCAAGCAGAAACTTTCCACAAACTCACAAGTTCAATGGATGCAAGAATTGAGAGGGTGATGTCAAAGAAGGGGTCATATGTTAACATGTAATGGTCTGTTAAGATGTTTTTGATTGAAATAGGTTTTGATTTTAGTACATGTGACCAGTTAATGCTGCACATTCAAAGAATGACCATTTGCAGTTCTTTATAATCCATAAAATGTTTAAAAAAATCTGCTGTGCATAATAATTTGGAACAGTGCATTTTGAGGTTTTTATATGTTTGAACAAAATACTGTTCTCATGAGGAGCTTTGTTCAGTAACATTTGATTTATACTGTAATAGTTCATGACTTGAAAATTATACTGACCATTTGCATTGAACATTTAGGAAAATCTGAGAAAATGTAATATAATAATTTGGAACATGGTGTGTATAAGGTTCTCATAAGGTTTTTCCATGTGTGTTAGTAATGTTAATATCTTAAAGAAAACATTTTTGGGTTTTTTTAAGGCCCCAGTGGCCTTTATTTGATACTTGACAGGAAAGAGGGTAATGAGAGAAGGGGAAGACAGGTCAGGAATCGAACCTGCGACAGCCACGTCAGGAATCGAACCTGCGACAGCCACGTCAGGAATCGAACCTGCGACAGCCACATCGAAGACTAAAGCATCCATTGTGGGTTGTGCTTAACCCCTGCACCTCCACAGCACCCCACAGAAAACATGTTTATAATGTTTATATGTTTTTTTTAACTCTTTGGTGCAAAAAACTGATCGAAAATCGATTTATTCACTACGTTTGTTTCTGTAAGGCTGAGATGGAACTACACATGAAAACGGCCTTTGTTACCAACACAAAGCAACACAATCAAAACTATCAGATGACCTTATCCTGTGATAATAACTCAGAAATAGTCCAAATAGTTTGGATGTGCATTTTCTTTCATTCCTACTAATATAAAGTTTTGCGATGGAAAGCCCATGATTGATTGATTTTGCTTTTACAGTTTGCAAATAAGTTTGTGGTGCATTTCTACCCCAAAGAAATGGATATAAACTTCCAGATATCTCACAAATGAGATATTAACATACATAGATAAACCTTATATTATAGCAGAAAGTAAGAAAGACTTTCAATCTTGCGAGGAAACGCAATTTTTTTTTTTCCCCCATGTCCTTTTCTCCGTAGTCTGAAATGTATCTGGTGCATGTGAGTTTTTTTGTTGTTTTGTTTTGGGGTTTTTTCCTTCAATATCCCTTCAACCCTCTATGAAATTGCTGACCACTGAGGTTTCCTGTAGGTGTTCGACCTGAAGGGCTCTCTGAGGAATCGGAACGTGAAGACGGACTCTGGGAAGGAGAGCTGCGAGGTGGTTTTGCTGGACGAGAACCTCCTAAAGCTGATCCATGACAACCCACTCTACATCCGCTCCCACTGCAAGGCCATCCTCAGGGCAGCCATACACAGCGATGCCTACTTCCTGTCCAGCCACCTCATCATCGATTACTCCCTGCTGGTGGGGCGGGACGACGCCACTGACCAGCTGGTGGTGGGGATCATAGGTGAGTGGGAGGCCTCAAGTGTGGAGGCCTCTGTGTTGTGGGTCAGAACTAAGTGTTGATGGTACTTCCTCTTCCGTCTGCTCTAGATTACATCAGGACGTTTACCTGGGACAAGAAACTGGAGATGGTCGTCAAATCCACTGGAATTCTGGGAGGTCAAGGTACTTCATCAGACAGATTTTCTGTCATGCTCATGGGGTGCCGTTTGTAGTTGCAGTCAAAAGTTACCAGCAGTAATTTGGGTTATTTATTGTGGGTTAATTTGGTTATTTGTTAAGAAAGGAACAATGTACAGCTCAAACATAAAAGTTATTATTTGATGTGCTGCACCAGATTATACTACAAGCTAATGCACATCTGTATTCCCTTAATTTGGCCTAACAGAAAAAATGAGTGTTCAATTCTATGCTGTGTTCATTTGGTGTCACAGTTGCAAATATTTGAATGTTATTTATTTCATAAAGGAGACAATTCATCTAGTAAATTAGCCAAATTTAGCCAGAGGCTAATTTTAATTTGTAGTTTCCTAACAGGTTAATAGGAAGAGTCAAAAAAAAATAATACAATTATCATGCATATCATTCTTGACCTGTGAGCTAACAGATTTCAGTGTGTTGTGTAACTTAAAGTAAATATTTATCAGAGAAGTAAGAAAAAAACATGTAAAACATCAGTTAATTTTAAAAATATTCAAGATGGTAAGCATTGCTAAAATTATTTCCTGAAAAAATAAAGCAATAGTCCAAGAATCTGAAACCTGAACAGAAAATGGATTGAAATAACTTTACCTAGAGTATTTTACAGTCTCTCACACTAACTGCTCCTGTAGTTTAGTTTGACTGTAATTTGTTTACAAATTGAAAAGTCAAACAAACCATGACATACCTCATTTTCAATATGAATGTCTGAATACATTTAGCTAGCTTATTTAATTAGTCAGCCAAATGTTTCATTAATATTGTATTTAGCTCACTAGCTAAATATTTGGTTCCAAGCTAAATATTCAGTTCCTAAACTAAATGTATAATAAAATAAATGTAGGTTTAGTACAGCAACACTACTTTAAGATTTTAAGGGGAAAAAAATGTTTGAAACATGAGGGGTCTAATCTGTTCCGATTCTTCTGAGCAAAGTTCTTGGATGTTCTTGGTGAACTTCTGGGTTTGCTCTGCAGGGAAGATGCCCACCGTGGTTTCTCCAGAGCTGTACAGGGCTCGTTTCTGCGAGGCCATGGATAAATACTTTCTGATGGTGCCGGACCACTGGAGCGGCCTGGGGATTAACTGCTGAGCCAGACACCCAGCAGTCCAATCCCAGCTCGTCATTCCACAGCATTTATTCTGCTTTGCTTGGACACACTGCGGTGACACTCTGGACCCCCTCGTGTTCTGGTTTTCTGTTTGGTTCCATTATGTCCATGAGTGGACCTTCAGAAACATTCAGCTGAACAAACCGCTTCCAGTAATTAATGTTTGTATTTGTACAGAGATATGTGACTATTAAAGATTATTAGCACTATGGACTGTTGTATTCATTCATGTAACCTCCAACTCGAAGTTGGTCTGGTTTTATTAAACTCATCCTCAGAGTTCTGATCTCCCAGAAACTGTTGTGAATTTGAACGCGTCCTGTGATGTATCAGCTATTCTTGTTTGAGGTTGGTGGCAGCATAAGGTTGCAGGTATTTCTCTTCATCAGACAGAAAAGCTGATCAAACTCAATAGATGGATGGAGCTATCATGGCATTATGTTTAAAGGCTGTAGTAGCCTTGGGGAGTGGTACACTGAGGAGTCCATACTACCTCTACAAACTCATTAATCCAGTTCCACAACACAACAGGGCTGAGGTCATCTCATGAACATAATTGCTCCAGGTCAGGTAGGTCAGATTGTGAGGGAACCTGAATCCTTTAAAAGCCTCGTTCCACAGCAGACAATCGACTTCATCAAGCGGAAACTGAACTGATGCTCAGGGTCACATGAGATGTTTAAATTCTGACATTTTTCTAGTTGTCTCCACCACTACAGCTTTTGTTTGTTTTTATTCAATAATTTAATGGAGATTAAGAAACCACCATTGCATTCCTCAACTTAAATATTACTTTAATATTAAGTAATATTTTAAAGTGAAATTTTTACATTTCCCATCAGTCTGTGCTGACTCCTGGCGTATCACCTTCAAATTTTTGAATGTATTTTGCTCAACAATCCTCTGAAGGCAGCAGTTATCCCTGTGTATGTCTTTTATAATCTAATTTTCTAAGACACTAAATTGTGGGCTTTCATTCTCATTAATGTAAGAAGAAATGGTTTGAAATATGCCCCGTTTCTGCAACTCAAACCTGGAAGAACTGAAGTGAATGTGTGTAAAAACTCAACATGAAGCAATTCTTTGACTTTTTCCTCCTTTATTTGAAATGCATCAGCAGGTTTCACATGAGCAGCAGCAGCAGGCTGTTCTGCCCCGTGCCCTCAAAGGAGACGCCCAACAGTTTAGAACTGTGTTGGTGTTGGCAGTCACCTGAACGCACCACTGCATGTGCCAGATGTGTTTTCCTTTCAGTCCATCAGAAGCTCTTCTTAGAGAAAGTCCGCTGTCCAACATCAGAGCAGGTCTGATAGAAAATCTTCTAAACCCTGGAAATAAATAGTTCATAAAGAAAATTGCACATAAAGGGTTTAAACTGGGGCAGTAAGTTGACATTTTTGGCTTCTGTGCTCTTGTTTTGGTGGTGTTGGTGTCATGCAGGATCATTCTGAAGCAAGGTCAGCTGTGTGCAGAGGAAGATTAACCTTCATCTGAACCGTTCATGGAACAACCTGAAACGTTTTCTCCTGACTTTCAGCTGAGTGGGATTTCTGGCACCAGGTTTTTTTTTTTTTTTTTTTTACCAAGCAAAGGGAAGGTGTGATTAAACCTACAGAACAGAGGGATGAGGATCAGTATGGGGTCACAGTGTCACTGAGGATCCCTTACCTGGATCAGACCTGGAGGTTCTGCTCCGGCTCTGATCCAAATGTCTCCTTTAAAACAAGGCACCTCGGTTCAAAGTGTTCAGATGGAGCTATTTCTGCACTATATCCAATAAATAAGATTCACCTTTTGTGTAAATTACTAAAGATGTCAGAAGTCCTTCTGGGTTTTGGTCTAAAAGAGTTTAATTCTAATGGATTATGGTGTTTTAAACAGCTTGTCAAATTAAGAAAGTATTCCCCTTAAAAAAGTCTGTTTTTTTCAGCAGTTTTAACCTTGTTTTCTGGGGGATTTTAAATTACTGTGCCATTTTCTCAGCTCATTGAACAATGAGGGCTCTTTCTCAAAGGATAACATATAAAAAATACATATTTTATATATTTTCCAGGCCACAATACAGTGGCTCCAGTTATACCTCCAGTCAGCATTTTACTGTCACCTCCAGGCCTGTTTTCAGGGTCAGATAATCCCTTCAGACGTGTTTTTTGTCAACTTCCTGTCCTGAAGACGGAGTAACGCAAAGAGAGCATTTTCCCTGGAAACGGTTCAGGTTGTTTTTCCAAAAACAAGAAAGTTGTCTTTGAGCCACGCTCGAGATTCATGTGACCCTGCAGTCTAACGCAGACCTTCTCTCTCTAAAGGTCACAGTCTTAAAGGTGAGGTTCAGCTGGTTCAGGCTTCCAAAGGGGCATGTCCTCAGCATCCAGAGGGGCGTTATCTTCAGCTGATATGTGATGATTCCACACTCCTGCCAGCAGAGGGAGCTGTTTGTTTCCAGGCACTTGTTCCCAGTGCATTTCTAGAGCTGCTACACACTAAAACTAATTAATGATGGATCTCTGAAGCAGAAAGCTGCCACCAGGTGGTGCTGGTGGTGGAACTCAGCCAGAGTTAGACTGCGGTGGTAGAGGTGCTGGCACCAGTACACCTTTCTGGCAGATGTTGAATGCCTGCTTGCTCTGCCACTCGTTGTAATCTGCCTCTAGCTGTTGGTTTGGGCTACTGCAGCCTGTCTGGGGTGAATCGAGCTTCCCAGCTTGGAACAGGTTCTGCCCCACATAGCGGCAAGGGAAGACATAAAAACTGGTGTAACACTACCAAATGACGCAGAGGGTAACGTGGCTGACCTTACCGGCTGATATTATAACTGATGTTTAAAAAAAAGTGTTTGTTCTGTACATTTCAACATTCGGACCAATCCCAGCCTGTCCCCTGGAATCTTCTTGACACCAGGATGTGGTTGACATCAACAGCACCTTGAAAAAGTTTTCACGCCCCTTGAACTGCTCCATATTGTAAACATTACAAAAATGCACTTGAGATGGTCACATTGGATTTAACACAAGTGAATGCATAAATGAGAAGTAGAAGGATAAGTCAGTCCTGCACATGATCCTGAAGACATAATGAAACCTGGTGCAGGCAACATCATGCTGAGGGGCTGTTTTTCTCAAGTCGGATCAGGGAAGCAAGTGAGAGAAAAAATACAGAATTACTGAATTAATCTAAATGTAATTCTACAACGTACTGACCCGGTTTATTCAGAAACAAAACTGAAAACCATGTTTTCCTTCCATTTTAAATTTATGCACCACTGAGTTTTGGTCTGCCACAACAAATCCTAATGAACATGCTGCAGTGTGTTATATAGGATGGAGTATTGAGGCAATGCCAAGAAAATAATAAAAAAATAAAATTACCAGAATAAAGTCATAAAATCACAAGATTTACGAGAATACTCAAATAAAGTCACAGTATTAAGTGAATAAACACATATTATAACTTTATTCTTGTAATTTAATTGTTTTATTTTTTATTAGTATGGCCTTATACTCCATTGTAATTACATGACAAAATTGTGAAAAAGTTCAAAGGGTGTGAACAAACAAAAACTCTCTGATGGTGGGAAACAGATCCAGGTTTGGGAGGAAGGAACTGTCAGGGCTCAGTTTCACCAACCAGCAGATCAGCCGAAACGCAATTTGATCAAATGAAAGTGGGCGCCTGGTAAAGCAGGTGCTCTTAGAAAACAGTCACATGTCCAATCAAACTCATTCTCCTCTTCCACTTCTTAAAATTCAAAATAATTATTACAATATTTTTCCAGTATTAAATAATTTGATATAAAAAACACGCCAAAGAAAAAAAAAAAAACAACAGGGTGGAAGAAATGGCAATTTTCCCAATGGGATTGCCCCTCCCCTACACACACACCTCCCCCTTCAACTCACAATATACACTTCTATACACATCATCATCATTGACCATTCTCCTCTGTGGTTCCTTCCCCTAACTCCTTGGTTCATGCAGTACCTGGTACATTGCAGCCAAACGTCACTTCAAGTCTTTCCTATAATGCAAAGCTGCAGAGATGTGAGAAAAGCTGGAGGGTTAATTTTCTGTCTTGCTAACTATATACATATACATATTTATATATTTAAATTGTTACTCATTTTAGATTAAACATGTAACAATGGGAATAATGAGAATTAATCTGAGATTAGGAGTAGCTTCGCCACTTGCTTGGAATCCAAAGGAGACCGAGAAGAGGTGTGTTTCCTCGCCTTGGACCTGATTGGTGAATGAGCTTCAGTCAAAGTCACTGCCTCCTACCACTCACTGGTCAGTTTGGTGCTTTGGTCCCGTTTGGGAGGGGCGGGAGGCGGGCCTCGCCGCAGCGTTGCATAGCCTGAGATGTTGCCATGTTTGGCCGATTGGGAGCGCCCGTGGTGCCGCGACAAGGTGTGAGAGTGTCCCCGGACACCCTGCTGATGCTGTTGTGGCAGGAGTTCTGGGGGGGGAGGCGGCAGGAGTGCCATATCGTCCATTGTGCCCACGGGCTCCATCTTGGAGGAGGGGATCAGGTGGGAGGAGGTGAGCGAACCATGGCGCGAGACTGACTTCCTCTTCAGCGTGCGGTTCAGGTCCTCCAGGAAGTGAGGCTTGAAGGCCAGGGAGGCGGGCCCTGCTGACTTTGGGGAAGAAGGGGGTATAGGGGAGGAGGAGGAGGAGTAGGACAACAGGGAGGGAGGTGGGGTTTGGGACAGAGGGGGAGGCGAGAGAGGCAGTGAGATGGTGTTGTCGTACTGAGCCGTATTGCTACTGCGCCGGTTCATCGCCGGAGGAGGCACCGCCCCCTTTTTCAGTGAGCCTTGCTTCCATGACGACGAGGAGAAAGAGGATGTTGCCGACTGTGGAGGAGGCTGCATCTGAGGCTGGGGGTTCACAACGGCAACCTTGGGAGGGTGATGGAACTCAGAGGGGTGAGGCGGGGGAGGGAAGAGCTCCGATTCAGTCGGCGGGGGAGGGAAAAAGTCGGCTGATGAGTCCAGGTGAGGATGCTGGGAAGGAGGAGGTGGAGGAGGAGGCGAGGGGAACTCAGACTGATGCTGCTGGCCGCTCTGCAGGCCTTGCATGACCAGAGGCAGGTTGGCCAGGTTCAGCTTCCCTGGCTTGGGGAGCGGTGCCGGAAGGGAGGCGGAGTCTTTGGAAGGCGATCCCGTTGCTGAGGAAGAACACGACGATGTTCCTGTCTGGGGGGCCTGACCAAATTTACTCAAAAGACTCTCCACCTTCTTGGGCCGCTCGTCCTGAGGGTCTTTCATGGAGGAGGCCCTTTGTGGGGTCGGGGGAGGCCCACGCTTGGCAGACCCCGTGGAGGAGGTCGAGGGAGACTTCTTGATGGGGGAGCCCGACTTGGATGAGGAAGAGGGCGGAGGAGGAAAGTCTCCTAAGGAGCTGTCAGGGGGAGGTGGGGGGAACTCAGGTGACTGTGGTACTACGGTGCCCCCAATTTGCCACTTTGGTTTGGCCTTGACTGCAGGAGGGGACTGGGGAGCGGAGCTGGAGGAGGGTAGGGGGGAAGTGTTTCCTGGGAACTGATTGACGATCTGTTTGACCAAAGAGGAGGTAGCCGCGGCGATGGAGACGGATGAGGAGGAGGCGGAGGGAGAGATAGCCAGGTTCTTGGAGGATAGACTGTGCTGCTTGGGCAGTGTGGGAGGGGGCTGATTCGGGGAGTGTCCCGTCGAGAAGCTCTGCTGCTTCCTGACAGGGCCGTGTCCAGAAAATGGCTGGGTGGGGGACACCGGGGAGAGGGCGATGGGGAGGGAGGAAGGGCCAGATGGTTTTGGGGCGGTCAGAGGAGGGAATCCACCAGAGAAGGTTTTGGGAGGAGCAGGTGGGGGGGCATTGGGAGACAGAGGCCGGAGGACTTGTAGTGATGCTGGGGGGGACAGTTCTGTGAGAGGTGGAGGGGGAGGGGGGGTACCGTCCTGCAGTGCTGCGGGGGTGAAGTCATACACCATGTTGGGGAACTTCTGTGACAAGAACTGCTGCAGGCCTGCATTGGAGAGCTGGGGGCAGGGGTTGGGGAGAGGCTCTGGAGGGGGAGGAGGGGGCAGACCATTGGCATCCAGGCTCTCTGGAGGAGGGGGAGGGAGGCTGTGTGGCTCCAGTGCCTCCTCTGGCAGAGGCGGCGGCGGGAGACAGTTGGGGCTTGGCAGACTGAACTTTAGGGCGGCCATGGCTGAGCCAGGGGCAGGCACCACAGGTGGGGGAGGAGGAGGGGGCGACGGTGGGGAGGTGCCGTAAGAAGCTGGGAGGGTGTTGTAGTTCTGCAAGGGAAGGGGAGTGGTACCAGTGCCAGTCCCCTGCTGCGTTCTAGCCTGGTTTTGGCTCTGCAGGCGAGCCAGAGTGCTGTACTTCACGTAGGAGGAAGAAGGTGCCCCTTGGTGGCCCACACTGGCCACAGTGGGTGAAGGGGGGGGAGGGGGTGAGGGTGGGGACGGAGAAGAGGAGGAGTCCTCAGATGGGACGAGCCCATCAGTGTAGCTGCTCCGGGAAGGCGGAGTCTGAGGCTGGGGGGAAAGGCTGGGGATCTGGACCGGGATGGGCCTACTGATGGGGTCCATCTTCATCATCTGTGGGTAGAAGAAGAGGAACAGAAGTGAGAGAGGAGAAATACAATAAAATGTACAATTTACTAAAAACAAACGAGATGCAAGAAATCCGACACCAAACCAAACAGAGGAGAATGATATTTGGTTAAAAGTTATAAGCAGTTAATAATGCTCCTACTTTCTTCATTCAGTAGAAATTCAGATTACTGATAATTACATCAATTTGTCACCCCAGGTTTTCGCGATTCTACAATTGTGGAAATTCACGCAAATCAACCAGTCCCTGCCTTTTTACATGCTAATTGAGTCCATTTTGGGTCCATTGCATTTTTCTGCAAACATGGTCAAACCCATAATTCAAGCAATGATAACTCTCACCTGCAGGTGGCAGTATTTCTTACTTCTACTACCTGTACTTAATGTCAAGTTATAGTCTGAGTGGGATTGATGTGGCAATTAACAACAAGTGACATTTAACGTCATACATAAGCACAAATATTTCAAAATTTCTTGCAAATATTTGTAAATTAGCACCGCAAAATGTGACTGCAAAAAGTAAATCAAAATTACAAAGTGAAAAGATGCGCAATATTTCATTTTAAGAAGTACTTATCGAATGCAGACACAGCTTTGACCCTTTGACCTGATCCTTCGAGACTGTACATGATCCTAATATGGCCCAAAATCAAAATGAGCTTGACCTCTTTTTGCAGGTCTCGAGGCAGACTTCTGCTCTCTCTGTCCTTCTTTCCCTTTAAAATTGTCGAATTTTTATAAGAACATTTTACAAAAATCAGACTGTTTTTTTCTGATTAGTTTATTTGCTTAACAATTCAAAGTTTTAAATATTACAATAACATTTTTGTGGGTATTAGAACACATTTTTTGGCCCTTTGATGTGAAAAAGTTTGGACAGCCCTGATTTAAGAAACAGGAGATGTTCTGAAAATAGATCCTGTTTCAGCAAGCGGAGCCATAAAGAACAATAAGCTAATACAGAAAGTGAAGACGGAGCAGAGGACGTGTTGAACTCTGTTCAGCTGGGCCATCACTTTCCCGGTCCCATTCCAAACACATCCTGCCATCAATGACAAGTCTGGTGTGGAAAACAGCCAACTGCTGGCATTTCCTCAGATCAGATCTGGACGCTGATGTTTCACTGAAGCATCTGAAGTAGAGAAGCTGTGCAGCAACACGCTCATTATCCACGTGGGAATGCAGTGAAGCCGGTATGCTGAGTTGTCTTTAGTCCCATGATGTATCTGTTCAGCTGGGATCTGACGCTCTGCTTTTTAATATGGGAATTCTTTAGTTAGGCACCTTTTATAATATTCTGAATGTAGTATTTGTAAATAATGTCTCTTATTTCTGTCTCTTTATTTATTTGCAGATTTCCCATCGTTCCCAGTTTGCTGCTTTAGTCCATCTTCACTTCAAACACAAATGCCACACAGACAGGCTGTTAAATACTTCACATGCTTGTTACATCACTTCCTGTCTAACCTCCACTGCCTCCTCCTCCCCCCACACAGAGAGGGACCATCATTCGTCCTTTCATCTTTAAACGCTGCTAGAAAAGCAGAACAGGAATTGTGGGAAGAGAATAAAAATGATGACCAAAGACGATTTTTGTGTGTGTGTGTGCATATGAGTGTGTTCACACCTCTCCTTGCGTTCCTCTCCTCCAGGCGTCAGAGAAGATGGAGCTGACCACACTTTGGGAGCGGGTGTGTCCAGATGACGTCAGCTCTGACACACCACTGTCTGACTGACTGGAGTGGTTGGACTGCGACTCTGCAGGGTTCATCAGGAGGTCAGAAGTTGAGTCGACAGCAGCCTTATTAGGTCATGATGCTCAGCGTGGCTTACTAGGACTAAACCAATAGTTTTAAATTGCATTCCTCAAGGGCCAGACTGCTGCCACTTTGTCCCATTGCTTGAATCAAACAACTACTCTGCCTCATCAACATGCAGTCAGGCTCTTCAGAGCTCTGCTAACCAGCTAACACTGGAGCCGGTGTGCTGAAGCACACAGACACCTGAAGTAGCAGGACAGCAACGCTGAGGACTGGAGTTTGAGACTGAAGGATCTGAAACAGACCTGGGAGGCTGGATGAGCTGGAGCCGGACTTGATGGAAGAAGAAGAGAGGGAAGACCAATCGTAGGTGGCCTCTGTCCTCCTCATGGACTCCTGGAAGTTGATGTACAGCTGCTTCCCGTACTGACAAACACACACGCAAACACACATGTACAGCTTAAGAGCCATCTCACTCTCCTGTCCAATGTTGCTTCAGCTCACTGAGGCTTGTGGATGTTTCTTCTACAGAGTTATCAAGCTTTTCAGCTCTGCTGAGGTGTGGAGTTTGACTAGGCTGTTGGAGCTGCTTGATTCTCTTTGTTTTCAGCCACTCCAAAGTTGAATGGATGTGAAAGTGAAAGTGAAGAAAGGTCTGACCATGTGAAGTGGGCCCAGTAAAAACAGTTACCTCAAATTATTTAGCTATAAGGTCAACTTGTTTCTAGGTAACAGGTGGATGGCTTCCCAGGTGACTGTCATCTCCAGTCTGTAAGCTAGCTTAGAGATGCAGGACATAGATGTTACTATGTGCTGCATAATAATCAGTACCTTTGCAATGCGAATACTGTTGATCCATTGTTGGAGAGTTCTGATGTCATCACAGCACAGGTACTTTATATACTGAGACTTCTTCTGGATCTGGGGGTGCTAAACACACGCACAGTTAAAATTTCAAACATCCATCTGTGTGTGATTAATTGTGGCTCACTTAGTTGTAAAGTTGCTAATATAAATTTAAATAATACAATTCATTGAATAGGTCTGTATTACTACTTTAACTTTGGAGTGTAAAGACAGTTTTTGACCAGTAGGTGGCAGCTGTCGACCATGACTTGAACGTCTTACCTTCAGCACCATGCAGAAGTCAGTGGGAGCCTTGTACTTGCTCTTGTAGTCATGGCCCAGGTAAACATTGACGTGATCCAGCTGGAGGAAACACAACAGGTCCCTGGACGTCTGAAAACAGGCCAAACGGAGAGCTCTTGCTTTACTACACAAACACAGATGGTCCCTCCACCCGGCCTCCATCCGTCACACACCTTGGCCTTGCCCTTTGGGACGTAGTAGATTCCAGACGCTCTCAGCAGGAAGTAACGTTTCTTCCATGACTTTTTGCCGTCCTCTTTGAGCCACAGCACTCCCTCCATCTCAGGGACAGACACCGAGCTGCCTCCGAAACACTCCTGGAATGCAAATCGAAACTTTCCCTGTCAGTCCATTGTCTCTGCCTAAAGATTTGCAGGTAAAAAAACATGGGAGTGTATTCGAAGAAAGCCGAACTAACCCACCTCTAGCAGAGCTTCTTTGTTTCTCTCCGCCATCTCGCACGTCTCCTTCCGCCCCAGTAAGTAGTTCTGCAGCAGACGGGAAGCATGTGAGGAAAGAGGAGCAGGTTTCCAGATGTGGGCAGATGTGTGTGTTCTGTTTACCTGTGGGTTTTTGAACAGGGCGTACTTCTCGATGCGCTCTGTAAACATGAGGCGGTTCTGGCTGTCTCTGGTCCAGTTCAGCAGGTTCTCCACCAGGTTCTCGTGATCCTCGAAGATCCGTTCTGCATTCAGGGAGACGCATCAAGACATGAAAATCAGAAAAAACTGATTATTAAAATGATTTTTTTTTACATTTTCACAAGATTACCATCAAATAAACACGCAATATGGGGAACTAATACACCAAAAACAAAAACTGTACAACTGGATTAAATGAAAGCTTTATGTCAGCATTGTTCAACAGGAACAAAGTATGTAGCTTGCTCTGTGTTGACCTGAATAACTCACATCACCAATGCTACGTAGTTAGCCACAGTTTTTAGATAGCACATCACTAACAAGTCAAACCAGGCCAAAGCCATGAAGTCTACAGCAGCAGACATGTGGCCCCAGTTCAAAACACCTTTAAAGAGACAGAACCACATCGCCACAATCCCTCATCAGATTTATAAAAGAAGGTAACGGCTTCATGGCTTCACCAAAGCTGCTGCTGACTGAACTAATGATGCTAATGCTAATCCACGACTTGAATCCATTAGTCAGCAAAGGTTTGTTTATTTCTTTTCACACAGATGGTTCTTATTTGCTCAGTATCCTGTTACTTCATTCACATCAGAATAAGGTTAAAAAAAAAAAAAAAAAAACAGAAACATTTGTCTTTCCTTTTTTGAGAAATGTACCAAACTGGAACTACATAGGCTGCTCGGAACAAACTAACACTTTAAAGTGTTTCATTCTAAAGTGTTAATTTAGGAACAAAGTGTTTGAAAGGCAACAATGTTGAAAAGAAATAACTTCTGTAAAATAATCATATTTTTTGAGTCCCACATCCAACACATTAGATCTCATGACTTGATTCAGGTTTTAAACCCTAAACAATCCAATAAGAAAGGTTTTAAATAGACATTTTAAAACTAGACATTTTATGATAACATAATAGGATTTTAGAACCAACATAATGATATAGACCAAAAACAAGACAAATGAGAGCCAGAATCCATGAGGACCAAGGCAAGCCAGTCAGAGTCATGAATCTGAAGACAGATAACATGAGAAGCATGAAACAGTGCTGGTTATTTTCCCACCAGGTTCTGGTTGTTTTGTTCCAGACAAGCCCTGAACAAAAACAAGGACACTTCACACTGACTATGAGTCACTTTGTATCCACCTGGGGAATGTTTCAAGCCAAACAGAGGACTTAAAGTCATTTTCTATAGTGGCAGATTATTAATCTTCCAAAAGAAAAGACTCCAAAAAATAATATCTAACATCATAACAACACATTCCTGAGCTAGTGGCTGAATCACATTGTAAAGATTAACACTACAACAGGGGAAACCATAAACTAATGGAAATAGAGCACAATACAAAGTTTGAAAGTACAATGCACAATAAAACAGATTATAATGGTAATTGTAATTATGAGATTTTATATCCATATCCATTTTGCAGATACAAAATGAATGAAATGGAATTCTATTGGTCAAAACAAATTGGAATTAAGAAAACTGACCTGGAGCTACATGATGCATATCTGCTGATTTATTGTTTTATATGCTCAGCTTTTTCTGGCTTTGCAAAGACAACACCAACCTAAAATATGTAATTTAATGTTAACATGAACATTTAAAAAGAAGATAATTGCTGCTCTTATGTCCCGCAGGGGAAATAATTACAGTTCGAAGGTCATAATCTAACAGGAAACCAGTTTAAGTCCAGGAGTCCAAAAGCCCCAATTCTTCAACTCCATATCCAACTGAGTCCCTTCACTACCTGAATGCAGGTTTAAGCTCCGCTGATGCAGAACTGTGGCATGTAGCTCAGCTCTTAGCCTTCATGCTCCTCCACTTCCTGAAAGCTGGCATTCAGCAGGAGGACCAGGATGTAGGTTAAGGCTCACAGATGGCTGCATCAGACCTACACTAACACAATCAGTGCTAAGCTAGTGCTTGTAATACATTGTGTGCCACAGACACACATCTCAGCCCTTTAGCATAGCTCATACTCTGTGTCTGAACAGTGTGAGTCACTGCTGGAGCTTTTAGCTCAGCTGCATTTACATAATGATGGAGACTGAAAGTGTCACTGGCTCAATAAAATCACTTACACAATTTAAAAAGATGAACTACTGTGCCTTCATTCTGTGTACACAAAAGCTTATAAATATTTGTAAACAATGTTCCCTCTAAACTGCGCGCCTGCGCAATCGCGCACTGCTCACGTAATCTCAGCGCACAAGAAAATCTATGTAGCGCATAAAATAAAGTCCGACGTAAAGTGGACATTGAGCTCAGACATCAGTTTTGACTATGGACCAATAAATTTTTTTTTCCGTACTACTTTGCGATCGAACTCAGTGAGTGACATGAATCCAGCCAATGATACGATACGGTTCACTTTCGCTGATTGGAGTGTACAGCCAATCAGCATGCGTTTAGGTGCCTTGGTCATATGCGCCGTGCAGGTGAGAATAGTGCGGTAGAGTTAAAAAACGTGAAAGCCATCACCTTATGTCTACGTGGGACATCCACTCACCAAGCCAAAGTAAAAAAAAAAATAAATGCACTTCTATTATCAAATGGAATCAAATCAAATGAAAGGAATGGTCTGCATTTGATATTGAAATGTTGAGTTCAGACTTTTGACTATGGATAAGCAGACATTTGTACACTGGCAAAGAAGTATGAGGCCATTCTCCTCCACCCACAGATTATGGAGGCCATTAACAGTCAATATGCTGAATTCAAGTATATAAAGCAAGAAGCAGACTGACCCATCAACCTGGGCTAAGTGAACAACCACTGAAGAAGTGAGAAGAAGTGAGAAGGGCAGACGTGAAAAAAATTGTAATTAAATATTTTACAAGAATTTATACTGCATCACAAGCTACAGAAAACATTTCATTGTGCAAAATGTGAATGTTTTAATATGAACAAACATTTATGTCTGAAAGGTGTAATGTCTCATTTCTCACCCTGGCTGAAGCAGGACTCTTACTTATAGCATGCATCTCATGAACAGCAATGTTTTCTTTTCTTTTTTTATGTTAATTGAGCAAATCACTTAAATTAAAAGCAAACAAATGAAAATTGCTGATGTAATTTGATTTTTTTTAATAAGCCATGCAACTTTCTATGATCCCAGATTTATGATACTTGTGCGTGGCCACGCCGTGTACACTGATGATGCTCACAGTGGTCCTCAGTGTGCTCAGGAAGCTTGTGTGTATGCCCAGACACATGAAAAATTAGAGGGAACATTGTTTGTAAATACTACAAATTTACAAATTTATAATGTCCCAGTTTTTGTCTATAGCAACTGGATCAAACTCAGTTGTGTGAACATTCAGTCAGCAACACAGCTGATTATATCTGAGCTTCACATGGTGAAGCTGTGTGGAGGTGTGCACTCACCCATCTGCAGCTCTGTGATGGTTTCCACCAGGGACCAGTCTGGACTGTAACCACAGTGAGATTTATCCAGCAGACTGTCCAGAACCTGAAGCATAGGAGACATAGTCAGGTCCAGCCATGCCGCCATAAGTCCTGGACTGAGCTCAAAACAACTATGGCTTCAGATTAGGCTGTAGACTGGTATTAATAAAGACACCGAATGACTGTGAAAATAAAAAACAAAAACACAAAATACAAATAAAAAAATAAATAAATAAATAAAAAGTCCCATTAGTAGACCTGGGATTAAATTTAAGGTCAATTTACGTTTTAGATACATGAGTGTAAGATTTTTGCAGGAACGTTTTTCATAGATGGAGATGAGGATTATGTCTGGAAGGATGAACTCTGGACAAAAAGCTCCATGTTCCCACAAAAGAAAAACATTTACCCCTCCACTAAAAACAACTATTCCTGATCTCAAACTTTATAAAACAAAAAAAAACAAAACAAAACAAAAAAACACCAGAATCTGTGGTGGTCCTATTGGTTTCCAGAAGGTGTACCTGTCGGACTGTCTGTCTCTCGTCCACCATCATGGTCTTTGAGCTCTCATCTGACAGATGAACACGGATCACCAGCTGTGAAGAAGATAGTTGAGCAGAGGAGGTCAGTCGTCATGTTCAGAGGAGCAACGCCTCGCCCAATCAGCTCTTAGAGCTCTGACTGGGATCCAAGGCTTCATATCACAAAACAAGAAGAGGGAGCAGCTTCTGACATGATTCCAACAAACTTTGCTTTACTTTGATTGTTTGAGTCAAAATGTGACCCAGAAAAAGAAGGAAGTTCAGGTGAAGGCGATCCATTTCACTAAGCCCAGTCCTCTTATTCTGCAGCATTGCCCTTTACTGAATCACATGCATGAGTGGAATACTTATGTGTTTTCTAGGCACATGGTGCAATTTTATAGCACAGTCAAATAATTATCCAGTTGTTAAATATCAAATATAACTTAAACCAGAAAGACCAGAGGACATCCTGTTCCTCCTGGAGAGCCGTGACATCTTTCCTCTCCTTCTTGTCCAAAAGTTTAAACCTCACCGTGAGTTTAATTACATGGCTCCAATTCACAACACGTCATCTGAAGACGTCATTCCACAGGCTTAATGTCAGTCTGTCTCATCGATTCTAAAACCAGTTGTGATATTGTGTCTCCTCAGATAAAAGGCAGTCAGGAAATTCATGTAAAAAACATTAACCACAATTATGAAAAGTCTGCTGGAACCTGGAGGATCCTGGGAGTTCAACAGGATCCTCCACTTTCTGGACACAGTTAGACAGGACCGGAAATGTCTGAGCTTTTCAACCACAATGACAATGTTGGGATGAGACTCAGTGAGGCTTCAAACATAAGACTGGAAGTGAAACACACTCTGGCTTCATCCCGATCCAGTAACTGAAAACAGAAACATTGCATCAAATCTCATTTTCAGTTGTGAGCCTGAAGGAAACCTGTAGAAAATCACTGTCCAACATGATCACTTTTATCTCTGAGAGCTCTGAGCAGAATCAGTGCAACAGATGATTTATTCCCAAACACTGACACACACAGGCTGGAGTCCCTCTGTGTGTGTATAGTAATTCCAGGTTGTTAATCCAGTCTCTTTGGGATTTTAGTTGCAGTGTTCATTATGTTGAGTGGCGTGTGTGTAGTTAGTGTGTGTGTGTGTTGACTCCAGCTGTTATGATTGGAGCTTTTAAAAGTGTAGTAACACTAACCTGACCCAGAAACCCGCTACTCCCAACACATGCACACACCAGCAGAGTATAAATATACACAGTGTGTGTGCATATGTGTGTGTGTGTGTGAAGTTGACTCACCTTCTTCACCTGTGCCTCCTTGATCTTCTCCAAAGCCACCCGGATATTCTCCGCCTTTAGCTTGGCAGCTTGCTCCTCCTAAACACCCACATACACAGATCACAGTTGAGAAAATGCAAACAAACTGCTGAAAGACCTGCTCTCCTACCTGGTTCCTCCAACAGGAGCTCATTGTGATAAAATCTCTTGTTTCTACGTCACATCAAATGAAAACTGGGTGATGTCGTTGATCTAGTTGCTCTTTGACTTTGACAGCTGGATGAGTGGCTACGCTTTGTCCCACAGGGATGTCACCCTGTGCCCACCCTCCCCAACCCAGTGGAGGAAAATCCTGTAAATGTTAGTCTCAGAACACACGTGCACTGGCCAGAAAGACCTAACTGTGAGGAAGCATCTCCAACACCTCACTACCCGTTCTTCTCCTTCTGCCCCTGTTCACAATCACCATCTTCACCGTCTTCTCCGTGTTTGCACAGGATTGAGACTGGATTAAAACAGCGGCTTCACTGCGATCCTGCTGAATGAGGATTATCTGAAGTGACAGCGTGTGGACCTCCGCCGGACAGCAGCACCTCCAGATCCTGCTCTGCTTCAATGGCAACCAGCCGATCTGTGATGGAAAACCACCGGAGTTTCCAGACTCCAGTCCCGTCATATCCTCCCTGGCCAAGAGAGACGGAAGAGGAGATGGGAGGGAAGGAAGGTTGGCTGGGGATGGGGGAAGGCCAATGAGCTGTTTATCTGGAGCTGCCGTGCCCCTTCCTCCTCCTCTTCCTCCCTGTCTTCAACTCTTCCAGCCGTCCTTCTCTTTGTTTTCTCACTCTCTCTGTCCAAATCAGCTCAGAAGACAAGCATGTGGCCAGCTGCCTGATGTCATATAAAACGCACACCAGCACACATCCTTGTACTTCTAGAAAATGTCTGGGTTATGTCTAACCCAAACATTTTCTCTAATCCTAACTCCTACTAGTATATTCCTGACCCTAACCTTAACCAAAACTTCATTCACATCACACCTCTAAGCCTGACTTGTAGAACTGCAAAAAGTGAGGAGCAGGAAAACATCCTCCATCAACAAATAAATACTGTGAAACTAGTGCTCTATATGTAGCAAATACAAGTACACACACACATTAATACTTTGTTCACTGTATGGACCCTTTTAATCAGGTGGCAATAGGTGTACACCAAGCCTCCATAAAATCAAAAATATACCTAATGTCATGTTCAAGAAGAAACTGCTGCTGGAGTCAGTTCTTAATTGCTTCCAATATAGAATGCAGACAAAAAAAAAATTTTTATTCCAACCATTGAAAAACTAACTCTTAACTGTTTCTCAATATTATTCCATGTCACATGTTTTCCTAAGATCATGCAGCTCTACTTTCAGTGCTGCTGCAGAATGTAACAACTTTAGAGTCAACATGCTGTTGTGACAGTGAGCCACACTTAGTTTGTAAATATTTGTCCTGTTTGAAATAAAATTCGGCAGCTGATGTGGTTTTGCACATCTTGGTCTTTGCTCTTCTGTTTACACAGCCAGCCATGGCTTCCATCTTCTCCAGCTGCAGCCAACATATTCATCTGACCTACATTATGAAGCTAAAATTAGATTCTGTCCAAAAAACATTCAGCTCCCTTTGAAGTAGAGAGGAATTTGCCCCTTTTCAGCTGCTGTAGGCCAAAGAGTAGGCTGACGTGAATCACCGAATGCTGCAGAAGTGTAAGTAGGCCAGCAGTGTGTGTGAGAGAGAGAACTATTGTTTCTGCAGAGGCAGTGTAACACTGACACAGAAAGAGTATTTTAACACACACACGCACACAGCAGCACCCTGAAGTCTCTCTAATGAGAGCAGATAATTACACTGTCAGCCTAATCACGGCTGCTGGAATTAGACCGGCCCCGAAGCTCATAATCTGCCGGCAATCTCTAGGTCCATTGCAGCCCTGCCCTCCCCCTTCTAATCTGGCACCATAAATTGAAACAAAATGATGTTTTTTTTTTCTACTTTGACTCAGGAGTCAGAATTACTGGAAGCAGGAAGCGTAGTGAAACGGCGATCTGCGGCTTGATCCAAAGTGGTAAAAGCTGGATTTAAAGTAAATGGATCTTGGAAGGATGACATCAGAGTAAAAGCATTTGTTTGGGTTTGATGAACTGGCTAAGACTGAGATCCAGAGCCAGCTCTGGACTTTGCTCTAACAGGTGCAACTCAGTGCAGGTATGATTTAATCATACAATAGGAGCAACAAGCTCTGTTGCTAAGGAACATCCTTTTTGCTTCACTGCAACAACACAAAATCTTACCGAGTATTTTGTCTAGTTTTTGGAGCAATATCTTCATTAAGGTGAACTAAAACTAACCTAACCTACTAATAACTTTTCAGATGGTGATAGGACCATGCATTACATCAATAATTCCTTAATATTGATGAAAAAAACTAGTTCCACAGGTAGATTATTTCACTTATAACATGGAAAAAATGTCTTGTTATAATTGAAATAATCTGCCAGAGGAACTAGTCCTCTTCATCAATATTAAGAAATTATTGGCTTAAAACAAATTCCTGTGTCTGACTGAAAAGTTACTTGTAAGTTAGTTTTGTCTTATTTCAACTGAACTAAGATATTTGCACTCGAAACTAAACAAAATACTTAGTAAGATTTTGTGATCAGGTTAAGTGAGGCACATTTGTTTTTATCAAAAAGGAAAAACCTTAGAACTTGATGGAATACTACCTGCTAGATGCTCTCCGTGTGTGCATGTGTGTGTGTGTGTGTGTGTGTGTCTGTGTGTGAATCTGTATGCAATGCTTTTGGGAATCTCCACCTTTTCTCCAAAGAGGATTATCCATTTCACACATTTCTGTGACGTCCAATCATTCTGCCTCCTCTGTTGATCATCCAATCACATCTCAAGCAATTTTTATCCAATCAGACCAAAGCCTGCTGACTTACTTCCACACTGAAAGAAACCTTTGCCCTCTGGCTGTTAAGAAGCCAACAGCTTCACCTTTAGAGCAGCTGCATGATCACGGTCGCTTTTGGAGCTCTGCATGGGGATTCACTTAGATTAATCTGAACTTAATCTGGCCTCAGAAGTGCCCTGAATGCATTAGAAAAATTAAAGTAGAAAGTTGTTTGTTGCTGATAGTAGACTCTGGCATCTGCCAGCAAACAGAGAACAACAAGCATCACAATAAGCAGCAGCTAGTCCCGTTATCTCAACTGATCTGCATTATCTTCAACTTTACCTGCTAAGCTTCATTATTGCCATTGGCTCAGATCCAGGAACTGATGAGGTGACTGCAGCGTATGACCAGAGATTAGAAGCAACAATAAACTGAGGACTGAGGTCAAACATGTCATCCCTAATTACTGATGAAGTCACTGGATTAATGCAGCAGCTATTCGCACACACACGCATGCACGCATACACACAGAGACATACACACAGAGACATACATAACACAGTGTGTTTGTAAGTCCATTCTAAGACTTAGAACTTGATCGCATTATTTTGATAATAAACCCCAAAAGGCATTGCCAGTATTAGCACCAAACATAAATATTGTTTTTGAAATGGGCATCTTCATAACGCCGTTTACTTTAAGAAGTGATATACAGAGGTGAACTGCACACAGTAACCATTTTTAATCAAACTTTCAAATTTACTGATATTTATTGACGTTCTTGTGGAACTGTGGAGACACACCAACATTTCTGATCATACTATCAGTTTTCTTTTTTAATTTACCATCAATAACTGAAGCTTTTAACAAAGATGAAACAAAATTCATATCACAATTTTTACAATATTTATGATAAATGATAAAACGGCACGATAAATGCAAAATCCTAACTTCCATTTATTTCTATAGCCAAGCTCAGACTCTACACCTAGAGTCTGAGCTTGGCACCTAAACTACACCTAAACTTAATCCACACCTTAACTCTGAGCCTTACCCTTAACCACTAACCCTTGACCCGTAATCCCTAACTCTTGACCCCCAAGCCAAAAGCAGCACTTCTACTTGTGGAGCAGTGGATCTCCACAACACATAGTTTGTGTTAGGAAAATCATCCCTACAATGTATCAAATACAAGGCCACACACACAGACTTAAAGGGCTTTCAGTGTTTAAACTTACCTGCTGTTGGTTCATTAATGACAAACCTTATGGAGAAGTGTGATCACAAAGGGGATGTCCATTATTGAACTTCTTAGGTTTTAAATTTTGTCTGCCTCTATTGAACTTAGTTTTTAAATTTTGAATACACTAAAAAAGATGTGTTTGTTTTCAATGTCCAATATTAATAACACAAAACTTCTCCTGTTTTCAGGTAGGATTATTAAAATGATTGAGATCATCTGAATACCAGAATCACTATAGAATATTTCAAAGAATGTTTTTACGACTTTCTTCAAAGTGTAAACTTTACAAACATGAGGATCAGTACACCTCTCTACTATTTTAAAGGCCGTCTGATGATGTCACGGCTTTGCAATCTTCTGATAGGTTAATTCACAAACTGTGACTGAATTGGTATCAGAGTTCAAGACAAAAATTAATTATGTGTCCCTGAGATGAATGTGTTTGCCCCAAGTCAAACTCAAACAAAAGTACAAAAACCTAAAACCTGTATTGACAAGAGCTGAAAGGCCACTCACAGAGGAAGAAGCCATCACTTAAAAGACCACAAAAAGAGAGTTAACAATTTAGGAATTTCATGTGATCTGATGAAATAATGAAGAAAAAGCCTGAGAACGTCATCCCACCTATAAAGCATGAGAGTGGCAGCATCATGTTGTGGGAGATGCGGGTGGTCTTCACAAAGCAAATGTTTCCACGGGGAAAAGGCATCAAGTTACATCTGAAGCCACTAAACAGGAAGTTGAAGTTTAGCCACCGACTTGAAAGTGAACGTTTTGAAGTGGCCATTAAAAAATCCTGAACGTGTCCCACAGAAAAGGTGTGGTCAAAGGTGAAAATAGATGAGTTGGACCCGCTTCACCTGGTCTGTCAGGAGAAGCGGGTCACAACTCAGAAAACTCTTATGAGATCATCATGGAAGCAAATCCAAAATGGATGCATTTAATCAAATTTTGTCATTAAACAATGGAGAAAATAGTAAAACTACATTTTTTATATATCATTAATTTGAATTTGCTGTGACAAAGACAAATCTGAATTCTTATAATGAGAAACACATAATAATAAATAATAGATGCTAAATGATAAGCAATGTGGTAAATGCTCACCTTTAATTGTTACAGACCTCAAACTGGAGAAGTTTGGTCAAACTTAATGTCACACAATGACAACAAAACATTTGCTGCACAGCAGGCATCTGCTGTTATCTGTGGATAAAACCAACATGATGATTATGATTGCTAGCTAGCTGTTGATTAATCTGTACAACTCCTGTGTGATCACATATCTCACACACTCTGCAGCTCTATGAGCTGTCGGAGCATTAAAACACTCTAAACATGCACTTCCCATTAACTCCCAACAAACCATCATGCTTCATAGAAATGAGCTAAATGACCTATTTCAAAGCAATCCATCAGTTCAGCACACACACCATGTGCTTAAAGGAGATCTACACACATTTGCATTGTGTGGGTTTAACTGAATTATCGCACAGACACACACAATGTGGAGGTTTATGACAGATGGACAGGTCTGAGGACAGACACACAGCATACTGGACCAGGCTCGGGGGAGAAGGAGTGTTGACATGCTCTTAATGCATCATGCAGGAATCAAATAGGAGGAAAAGTTGAGAGGCTGGCATGCGAGAGGAGAGGAGCATGGTTCAGAAGTGAATGAAGAGAGTCACCTTGGTCAGAAGGTGGGGGGGCTTTCCTGCAATGTTTCTCAGAATCAGAGAGGTTTCCCTGTCCAGATAGGAGTGCTTTAAAGAGACACAGAGAGTTCCTGTGAATGAACGGGGCCACCTGATTGGCTGAGTGAGGCGATTTGGAGCAGAAAGCTGGTGGTGAAACAGAGGTCAGTGGAACCAATGGAGTGCTTAGAGAACTGAAACCAGTGAGGAAGAGAATACAGGGCTGGTTCGCCTGCAGGATGGAACAGAATCGTTAGGTCAGACAGAATCAGAAAACCCACGGGCAAAACCCAGTCGGCGCTTCACACTTCCTTTCTCTGAGGGACGCTTGTATGGAACACGTCACTTATTAGTCAGGAAAATTATGAGCTAATGGAACATCAGCTATCTGACACCCTTAGCGGGGAGTGGGGCAGTTACCCAGAACAGCATTAGTAAGGGAGGGCGCTAAAGAACCAGAACCACATATAACTTATCTGTCAGTTGGACCTTAAATAAGTTTCCCATTGCTTTAAATTTTTTATCAGATTTTTAAAAAATTATTATGCAATGACAGTATAAGACAAGCAATCTATGAAAAAAAATAGCTCCTCTCCCTTCTCCCAGTCCTCCCAGTACCACCTGCTGAAATATACCATTCAGTCAGAAACAGCCAATCAGAGCCAAGAGGAGGGTCGTAGTGCTGTCAAGCAGTCTCACCTTCTCCCCATTGCTCTCTGCTACACTGCAGCTGATTCACCACAACAGAGTCTGTCACCAACCCTAAGGCTAGTTTGCCTGGCCAATGATAATGGAGGATAATTTTTTTTCATGTAACAGTAAGTTGTTTCTCTGCCAACAACATATCGACCAGCGAACATGAGATGGACTGACAGCAGTAAGACCCTCCACCTGGGCAATCTAGCAGTCAGGATCTCGAGGATCTATACTTTTTCACAGACAAGCTGTCTTATACCATACTGTCAGGGCATAGTGAGAGTTTTAACAACAGTGTAAAAGATATATTGTTTTATAAAAATTGCATACTGCAGCTTTAAATAGCAGTTTTGGAGGTTTTAACATGGTAAACAAGGCAATTCTTCTGAAAAATGTGGGGACGGTTTTTTCACTGAATGCCAACATTCAGATGGTCATATCTTGATTTTTTTTTTCTTTCCATGTTGTTGATATCAACAGAAAGCTTCAAATCCACACTTTCAGAATTTGTAAATAACCTGAAATACTCTGAGGGAGACGTCTTTCTGGTTTTCTCATGGTAGGACACGCAACAAATAGTTATTTATTTATGCTATGATGGAGAGAATAGCAAGAGAGAATTAGTGGTGAAACAGCTTTTCAAAAATGTTCTCAGTTAATGTCCACTCATACTTTATAACCTGACTACATTTATCTTTTAACCATCTGATGTTTATGTTTAGTTCTCGCTCTTATCTTTTTTTAAGCTTCTGCTTTGGCTTAAATCACTAGAAACCATTTAACAGAATGTATTAGATTTCTTTTGATACACACAGATTAAAAATAATATTCAGGTCAAACACAGATTCTCACACTGATGTGAATCCAGAATCCAGTCAGATTTTCCCTCCAGGAAAAATATGACTGCCTCAATTTACTCAACTCTGAACTATAAGCTATTTTTTAGGGAAAAAAACACTGCCTTTTTATCAATTATTTCTAATTTCTAAATATTAATAAAATGGGATCTGTCTTTTGAAAAAAGAAAATAAACTGTATAATCACAGCGTCTGTTGTGAACAACAGTCAATGCTGTTAAAATATTTTTCTTAGTTGACTTTTATTTTGAAAAGAGAACAAATGAAGTGAGCAGTTCTTTCAAAAGTTTGACTAACGGGTGAATGTTAGCTGATGGTTCAAATCTCAGCTATGTGGGATTAGCATGTCCTCCCTCCCTAAGATCTGTGTTTATGCTTCCTGCATGTCCAATCGGAGGAAAGGGGCCTGAAAGCAAATAAATACTACACTTCTCAGATATTCTTTTCAAAAAAATGTAATAAATAATACTATGAATCCTTCACTCTTATGCAAAACATTGCATAAGTCCAGAAAATCATATAGAATCCCAATAAACTTCCTGCTTCCTAAGAAGCAGGAAGTGATGGAAGAGAACCTCGCCTGATTAGAGGCCTCATCTCCCGACTGGAGACGGATTTCTCTGGGGATATTCCCAGAAGCCTCTCAGGGATCCAGCGCATCCCAAACTGCAGTTATTTTCTGATGGCCTTAAATGGAAATCAGAGCAAGAGCGCAGAGGACAGAGCAGTTCCTAATGAGCTGGGAACGTTGCTCTGGCAGGACAACATTCCCGTACATGATCCTCTTTCTTTGCTCCGTCCACATCCCCTTCACTCCCTCTATTTATTCCCGTGTTTCCTTCCTGTGTACATTTTCTCATCTCTTAGACTCGCTGTTCCAGCTGAGCCGTCTGCCCCCGTTCTCCAGCTCCGGTTGTGCAACTGAAGCCTCGGTCCGATTGAACTCCGTGACCAGAGACTCTAAGCTGCTTTCCGGCTTGCTGAACCCAGATGATGCTCAGCAGCAGACAGCCTCCTAAACCAAACAGCAACTGAATGGTTCCCTTTGAATTAATGAAGACTGCTTAATGAAAGGAAAACGCTCATCTAAGCTGATTTAGCTTTGTGTTGACTAAATTTTTGCTTTTAAGCTGGTTAGAATTAGACAGTCTTTCTTTTTCATGTAAGGAAATGTTTAATTTTTTGTTGAATATAAATAAGTTGTCCAGCCTCACATGTAACAGGGAAACCAAAAGCTAAGAAGATGAAGAAAAACTTTATTTTGTTCCAGTTATTCTAGCGGACTAGTCTACCATTTCCCCCTTCCAACTGACTGGATCACTTTAGTTCAGAATGTTTTGCTTAGATTTGCTGCTAATGAGAAACAGTCACAATTCCAACATTTTTCCACAAACAAAAAAACCCCTGAAAGGTGCGGATTTGACTGAAAGAAGAAAAACTGAATGTCAATTGTCAAGTCCTGATCTTTATTAAATTTAGGCTGTGACTTGGTTTGATTGGAAGCTGTTGGAGAAATTGTGATATTATTAATCAAATATTGGTTATTCTCATAATCTTATAGTATTATCTTCTTTTATGCTTTTATTGTTTAATCTCATTATAGGATTAAGAATGTTTCTATATTGTTGATTTGCTCTGATTCCTTTCTTAGAAGGCCTCACTGATGGAAAGCAGAGACAGTGTTTTCCTGAAGGGTTATCTCTTGGTGAAGAGTTGCCGGATTGATATAAAACTGCCACTGTGAAGATTCACTACATATTCTGTTAGACTTTGTGTCTGGGACGAGATTATCTAATGCAGATAACACTGTCTTAGTTAGTAAATGATAACTGGCGCTGTAGCTATGTGATAAATTGGTTTCCCCTCCCTTTAGAGTTACAGCGTCCTTGTGATTTGGGATCCTGAAAACAATAAAAGGAGATGAGCAGACAAATATGCTTCAGAGCAGTAGGAGATTGTAACTGAAAGCACATCTCTGTCTGTTCTCCTCGCGAGCAAGAAAGAATCTAAGTCTTTTGTCTTTCCTGTCTTTATTAATATGTGTTTTATAGGTGTTTAACCCTAATCTCACACCTCAGGTCTTTTTGTGTGGAAGTGTGTTACTTATTTACCTGGTGCTGGTTTTGCTTTTAATTTAGTTTCACTTCAGCAGCTCTTCTTCTACTAAAGCTTATATGATTGAATAGATTCCCAGTAGTACAGAGCTGAGAGAAAATCAAGAGTGAATATTAAACTAAATGGTAACACTTTATTTGATTGGATGTACATAAAATTGACCTGACACTGTCATAAACATGACATAGCAATTGTTATGAACATGAAGGAGTTTTTCATGAATGTTTATGACTGTTGTCATGAAGAGTCATTTTGCAAATAATGACAATTTTTATGAAAAGTTGCATTAAAAATCCATTAATAGCGTTACTTCAAATAAAGTGTTACCAACTCGATAAATCTGACATAAAGTGTCATCCTTCGTGTGTGTGTATGCGTGCGCACGTGTGTGTGTGTGCGTGTGTGTGGCCGAGCGCTCCAGCTGTTCACAGCTGTGTAATCCTTCCACTGTGGCGCTGCCAACTCCTCATGGAGGAACTGAGAATCAGGAAAATGAATCCAGACCTTCAGGACCAAATCCATCCTCCATCTTTTATTTTTATTTTTGCATTCAAAGTTTTAATCTGTCAGGTAATCAGTTTGACCCAGAATCAGAACTGCAAAGCTTTTCTTCCTATTTATGAGACAATAAATGTTTTCATTGTCATATTGATTTCTGTTCATAGCGCGCCCCTTAGCGAGCTTGACATGTTATCAGAGATAAGGGTTAGTGAATGTGACAGCGATGCTGTCACTGTTTGAGCAGCAGCTGTCCGTGCCTCTATCCTGTGAGTCATACAGGCTAATATGGCTAGCTAATCATTTTTATGAATGATTAGCTAATCAGCTTGACGTAATCCCAGTTTGCAGACAGGTGTCGACGAGTCCTGCTGGTTAAAGTGTGATGGTGCATGGAAAGAACCCGGACTGAAGCGGAGCAGCTACATCAGGATCAGGAGATCTCAGGCCCAGATTTGGACCACACACCAGGAGTTTGTGTTGGTCCATACCTCTGTGCTGGGATGCGCCTGACCCGATCCCTCTGAAGGCTGCAGGCCATCGGATTCGGAGCGGAGGACACTGTCCAGCGAATCCATGGAGGACGCAGAGTTGACTGAAATGCCGGATGCCGAGGTGATGGAGGAGCGAGACGAGTGGACGAACGAGCGCACCTGAGGAGGACGGAACCAGGGAGTGGAGGGGCAGGAGGAGCACTGCTGTTAGATCTGCTGCCAGTTTTTCATGAGACTGTTTTCCTGTTGTTGATCAGCTGATTGACCCACAGCTGAGCCGACCGGATGGGTTACGTACCTCGTGCTCGCTGACCGTTCCCACTGACCCGGTCCGTCGGTGCTGGCGCTGAGAAGACCCTGGCCGTCGCACTGAGGCTGACGTGTAGGAAGAGGCGGAGCTAAGAGAGTGGGAGGAGGTCTGCCGTGCAGCTTCATCCATGCTGAGAGACGCCTGACAGAGAGACAGAGAGGAAAATATGATGTCTGGACAAATATAAAACAAGATTCAGTTTATAAATATAAACTTTGTGTTTTGTGGACAGCTGGCAGCTTTAGGAATCATTTGTAACAAACATGCTTCAGTTGTGCTGTGGAACAGAAAAGCTGACAGGTCAGAGTTACTATAGCAATAGGTCCAAACCTTCTCTAGCTGAGCCGTGATGTCATCCAGGCTGAAGTTGGAGGCCAGCGGCGGTCGGCCCTGGTGCCCGCTCGGCGATCTAATGGTGCCGGCTGGAGACGCCCTGGTGCTGCTGCTGCTGCTGCTCGCCCCGCTGCTGCCCCCCCCACCCGACACGCTGTTCCCAATGCCGCCACCGCTGCCCCCTACTGACTGCTGTCTGCTGCTGCGCCCAGCAGGAGGCTTCTGTCGTACCTGCACACAACACCAGATCGTACAGTAGAAGCAAGCTGGCAGAATGATCGATGGATCAATGAGTCTATAAATCAATAAGTCACTGCCATGGCCACCTTGGTGTCTGTAAGTCCCTGCCGGGTCATGCTGCCACTGCTGGACTTGGTGTTGATGGTGCTGAGCTCCTGCTCAATGGAGGACAGGTCAGCCATGAGGGCGTTCAGGTCAACGTTCTCTCCCTGATTCAGGGCCTCTGCACACAAACAGCATAATGTGGGTGGGAGGTTTCAGGGGGAATGGGGCAGCAGTGGTCAAGGGGGTTAATTGAAGGGTGACCCCCTTCAATTCAGTAATGGAGCACCAATTCACCGTTAATGTTGTAGATGGAGAATCTATAGGAGAAGTTTGCCATGTTGGTCTCCTGCCTGAGAGGGGCTTTCTGCTGCGGGGGGCATTCTGGACGACCGTCATCCAAGCTCTGAACACACACACACACACACGCACACAGAGGAGAGTATGACACATGTATCCATACACCGTCACCATAGTGATCCAACTCCATACTTGTGTGAGTTTGTCCAGTTCTCCCAGCCAGGCTCCAAACATTTTATCCAGGTCCTGGTCCTCCTTATCGCTGTCCTCCTCTTCCTCATCCTCCTCCCCCCTCACCTCCACCTCCTCGTCTGAAAGCTGATCCATCTGAGGAAGAGGAGAACAGTAAACAAAGACTATTAGAAACTGTCTTTCATCTCCATCTAGTGGCCAGTAACGTGTACTGCAAATAAGTCAAACAGGCACTTTGAATTTGTTTTGTTGGTTATGACTGAGGCGTACTGAAGCAGCGTTTAAAAACTTCCAGTTGGGCGGAGCGGCTAAGTTTACATTCAGTCAACTCTTGACAATTCTGAAAGCACTGATAGTGGCAAAACATTATTCTGAGAAATTTCTCTCTCTGAGGCTGAATATCAACCAAAATTTGATCACCAATGTTATGTTACAGGCAGGAAAACATTTCTGATGATAAGGAACACTGCATTGTAAAAATACAATCAAAAAATGTGATAACTGCTAAAGTTTTGAATCATTAAATTTCTTTGATTTAGGCTTTGAAAGAAAATAAATCTACCTCTCTAATTCCAACTTAACTTTAATCATTCATTTGGATGATTAGGATTGGGGTTTGTGAAACAATGTGAAATGATTTCAAGGTTATTGTAAAGCCATAAACTCATGCGATGGAAGCCTACTCTTCTAGATTACAAAAGCAATTTCAAGGTCACCGAGCAGGAATGAATAACCAGCAGGCCTTCTGTTGTCCCACCAACTGAAAACACAACCTGTTACAGGTGGCTGCTTCAGTTCTTAGTGTGAGTCAACAGTTACTCTACATCTGTAGTTTTTTCAACTGGTCTTGATATCCAGTTGTCCAGGATTTTAAATCAGTCCAATTTTATCCCACTAAAGCATAACAAAGTGTGTTGGACCAGTGAAACTACATCAGCATTACCGGTTCTATCCAGACAGTGAGGTGTAAAGACTTCAGACTGAAGGTCAACTGTTGTTGTAGTTCTTTATTTCAATGACTCCCAACTTTATCTCACAATCTGAACAGGAGCTAGATCTTTGAAACTTCTCAACTACTTGGGCCAGGCGGAGTTCTTGAGTCTAAAAATAATCTTCAAAACATGATTCATAACAAAGAATCATAGAAGCCAGAACAGATTTAAAGGAACAATTCAGATTAATGTGGACAGTGTGTTTATATATCCACCATGTGAAACACTCAACAAACACCCATGGGGGAGAGACACTGTTCCTTTGACTGATGATAGCAATAACCATCTTCTTTCCTTCCCTCAGACTTCTGCCTACACGGCCATTCGCACACACACGCGCGAAAATAAACTGAGTCCTACTTCATTTTTAATGTAAATATTTTATACTTTTCTAAACTCAATTTTCCATATTTCATAATCCTCGAGCTTGATTTGAAAAATACTAACGTACCCTATGAATGAAGAAGGAAGGAAGGAAAAAATTATGGAAGTACTAAAGGAGAGAAGGAAGGAAACAAAATGAAGGAATGAGCCAGGTAAAAAACATGGGACACAAGCAACTGAAGACAGAAATAAGAAAGAAGGAAGGAATAAAGGATAACTTTTAGTTGATAGGGAATGCAAATACTTTTCCATGCTTATCTAGAGCTGGATAAACTGAAATCAAATTCCAGGCTGCATAAGAAGTCTGTTCAGATCAGAGGCAAAGACACATGGCAAATTCTTTACAACTAACAGCAGATAAGTTCAATCTAAAACTAAATAAAAACTGTAAAGTAATGTAACGAGATAAAAAGCTGCCTCAACATGTGTCAGTTTTTAAAATATTTGCTCTTTTAAAAGAGATAAAAGACATGCTTAGGAAATATGAAAAGCATTTTTAATTCATACCTTCAACTATAAAACAATTTAAACCCAGCTGTATGGAAAGGCTCATGTCACTGTTGACAACAGTTTCCATTGGTTCCAGCAAAGGGCGCTCTGATTTGACACTGAATAGAAACTAGTGTGTCTTTTGCTAGCATGAAAAGCTTTACGTGCTTTTCTGGTTACAAACATGGAAAATCATGATTATGAACATTCAGAGGAGACACATCCACAGCGTTTCTGTATTAAAACAGAAAAAAACTAACGTATAACAACTGACAATCTAAATGCTTTTATTTATGCAGAAAAACAAGTGCTGCCCAAAATAATATCTCATTTTGATGCATTACCTAATGGTAAAGAAAATTTGAAAAAAAAAATTAAAAATCACTTTAATTGATACAGCTAAATGTTGTTGCTGCAGTTTAAAAGCTGAGTCGGTTTTTCCTGGACTCCAGACATTGTTATTGCAGCTGGTTTCTGCTAAAGACAATGTATTCTAAAAAAAAGTTTGAATTTTATTCCAACCTTTGGATTGATGGACAAAAGAGTAAAAGAGTGACAAATTATATTAACCAGCAGCTAAATATGAATAAAAATTAAATATTTTAGGCTGTTCAACCTTTTCATTCAGAAACTAGTCAACATTAGATTAATTCACTGGGTTAGCTGCCCATTACTAGCCAGCAGTAGGAAGAACGCTGATAGTGTTGTGACAAGATCACAACAATATGAAAGAGCATAAAAGAAAAAAATTGCAACTTAATGGAGTCCTGACTGCAATTTGGTAAATAGCTTTGTACATGCATGTGGCTCCAAGGACACAAAGACAGGTGGAGCAGGGATCGAACCAGCAAACTGCAGAACTCCAACCACCCTCTCCACCATCACCCCTGTTCTTCTGTAGAGAAGTGTGCATGGATGAAGTCAGAGCTAAGAGTGGTGGGACTGGGATGTGGAACGCTTCAGTGACACTGATCTCTTTCAGAAGTTTAGAATTAGAATTTGCAGCCATTGTTTACATCCTGATTTGCTGGATTTTGCTCTGGTGCAGTTATGATGCAAGTCTCACATCAATGAAATAAAAGTCAGATGAAATTCAACATGACGGTTCAGATCACAGACACTTTGAAAACACTCAGATATCTGATTCAGTGAAATATACGGAGGTGGCACAAAACGGATTTTGTTTGGGTGTGAAAAAATCTGAACTGAGCTGTTCAGACTGCCATCATAAACTTGGCCATAATAATAATAATAATTTTAAAAAATATCTGATTTGGGTTGCATTTACCTGCTGTGTGAAGAACTTAGCTAAAAATGTGTTTCATCTACTGGGTTTCTATGCAGTGATGGAACACAAGTTGCCACATACATTAGGCATCTTATCCCAGAAGAGGTGTTGCTGGTGGGTGATGTGCTTCATACATTTGTAAATGTAAAAAAAATCTTCCCACAGTGAACTGATAATCTAACATAGCTCATCATGGCCTATTGGCCTTTTCTGGCTCCTACTCGATTCCTTCCTGCAGGTGACCCTTGATTCTCACCCAGGACAAAGTGTGTTGTTCCTGGGTAGCTGCTCAGAACATTCCCCCCCTGGCTTCCATGGGGATTTATACATACACGCATGCACGCACGCACACGCATGCATGCACTCAAACAAGATTAGAGAGCAGAATGGAACACACCCTTATGCAAACATACGGAAAAACACAACATACACACAAAAAGTTAGGAGCAGCGCTACAATTAGATCCCTGTGGTTCATGAGGTCTGTTTTTATGCTGGAGGATAGGCTCAATGTGTGCATGTGTGTTATGTGTGGTTTGTGGATGGCTGAGAGAGAGTGCAGGAGCTTTGCAACATTCAGCTGTTTCCAGCTGTTGCAGTTTGGACGCAGACCAACTAATGAAGTTTTTCTTTCCAGGAACGGTCCGCCGTGCTGGGCAGCCTTCACCACAAACATCAACCTTGGAAGCCATTTTTGTGCAACACTTTGAAAATGTCCTTTGTATTAAGTCGGGTTCTTTGTTGATTTGGTAACTTTTGGAAACATGTTTTAAGAAGACAGAACTATTCATTTTCTGAGGTCTGGTTTGTAAATGTTGAGTCTGTTTTTCTGTTTCAGAATTTTTAATCCTGTGATTGTTGGACCTGATTTCGGTGGATCCATGATCTCTTTTCAACATGAAGGAAATAGAGCAGCTTGGCCGTCTGCAGCTTCTTTTCAGGATCAGCCTGTCAGACGCTGCTCACAACGCAGCAGAGCTGAGACAACAGGTTAGAGTGATCGACTCTAAGTGCAATGCGTGCATGCGTGTGTGTGTGTGTGTGTGTGTGTGTGTGTGTGTGTGTGTGTGTGTGTGTGTGTGTGTGTGTGTGTGTGTGTGTGTGTGTGTGTGTGTGTGGGTGAGTGTGTGTCCGTCCAAAGTAAACAGTAATTACTTTGCTCCTGCAGCCACACTCCTCGTGTCTGTCAGACTGAAACCATGCAATCATCCTCCTCTCCTGCATTCCTCCTCCCACCTCTGCATCGTTTCTCCAACATAATTACCCTTCTTCACTGTTTTCTCTTCCTCCTTTCTGTGTTTCTCACTCCTCATCTGTTCCTTCATCTCTCCAGCATTTTCATCACAGTAGAAGTTTGATTTTCTGCAGCCGTAACACTAACACCTTCAGTCGCTAGAGCTGCACCAACTGTAATTTTCTGGCCGATAACTGATCTATAGAAAGGCTGATCTGCTGATTCCGATTAGAATGAAGATTAGAAGGTCTCTGCAGATGAAAAGAACTTAAATATGCAGGACACCAACCCTGGTGGAATAACTCTGGACACCCCTGGGTGAACCCCGTCTGCACAGTGAGAGTCCAACTGGAGATGGAACCCTTCTCCTGATTACACCAGACCATAAAATAGTGTTCTGAACCACAGCAACCTGCTGCAACCCGCTCAGTGGAAACTAATCAGTCGATGAGGAGGAGATCTGATCACATGATCAACAGAGGTCATAAAGCAACATGATCCTTCAAGATCACACATTTCCAGAAACATGGACATGTAGAGAAACCACATTCTGCTGAGTCCAAAAGCACGACAAATGAAGAAGAGGGAACGGAATCCACCTCCACACACTCATCCTGTCACTAATGCTAGCTCGTCTAAAAAATTTTATTCTGTCCCAGCTTTTTCGCATCCACCACGGTGGAAGTGTCTCTAATTTTCTGCTGAGTTGTGGATCTTTTTACTCCTCTTCAGTTCTCCAGGGGAATGTG